AAGGGCAATGTGTGGTGTAAATATTATGCAGAAAATTCGGAGTGTGGAAATTAGGAGAAGGTGTGGAGTTAATAAAAGTATTAGTCAGAGGGCAGAAGAGGGGTTGTTGAGGTGGTTTGGGTCATTTAGAGAGAATGGATCACAGTAGAATGACATGGAAAGCATATAAATTATAGGGGAAGGAAGGCGGGGTAGGGGTCGTCCTCGAAAGGTTGGAGAGAGGGGTTAAAGGAGGTTTTGTGGGTAAGGGGCTTGGACTTCCAGCAAGCGTGCGTGAGCGTGTTAGAGGGGTGAATGGAGACGAATGGTACTTGGGGACCTGACGATCTGTTGGAGTGTGAGCAGGGTAATTTAGTGAAGGGATTCAGGGAAACCGGTTATTTTCATATAGTCGGACTTGAGTCCTGGAAATGGGAAGTACAATGCCTGCACTTTAAAGGAGGGGTTTGGGATATTGTGCAGTTTGGAGGGATATGTTGTGTATCTTTATATGTTTATGCTTCTGACTGTTGTATTCTGAGCACCTCTGCAAAAACAGTGATAATGTGCGAGTGTGGTGAAAAGTGTTGAATGATGATGAAAGTATTTTCTTTTTGTAGATTTTCTTTCTTTTTTGGGTCACCCTGCCTCGGTGGGAGACGGCCGACTTGTTGAAAAAAAAAAAAAAAAAAAATATATATATAATATATATTATATATATATATATATATATATATATATATATTATATATATATATTATATATATACTGCTGCTTCAGTGGATATACATAAAAACACATCCTCATTGTATAAACAATGTAAATAATTGTGATAGTTTAATTAATTTAATAGTCTAGCATTATTACGGTTGTAATGTTTATCAAATTAAAAAAAAATTATTAGTAGACTATCAGTATTTTTTTATAATGTACCAAGGCTTATTATAGCAAAAAAAAAAAAAATGAAATTCTTGATAGTATTGTGTAATGAAAAACAGTTTAGTCACGAAATATACAAGTAAATGATAATGAACTTCCACCTAGTAAATAAAGATCATCTTTTTGCCTGCTCCCAGAAGTTTGGCGTTTTAACGTGCGTTTAACGCTTGGAGACTGGCCAACTTGCCCGTGGCTCGGAGTAAGGAATATGTATCACGTACATTATAGACATGAATGTCTGGGTCGAAGCCAGAGCCGTTGACGACTGGAATGGTCGGAAGTCGAATTCCTTTTCGAGCTAAATCTTGGCGATGTCGAGTACAGACTGAGTAAAACTTTAGACATTGCTGTAGAAAATGTTCATTATTATTAGTAGTATCTTGGGGAGCGCTAAACCTGCTGGGGGGGGATGGAAGGCATTCAGGTTTAATTCAGGGAACTGGAGCACAGATCCAATTCCCTAGATCAAGAGCCCCTCACCAGCATCAAGGAACCTCTTTTGAGAGGAGAAACTGTTCATGTGTATCATCCTCCTGTATTATTCTGGGTAATCTACACATGCTGCTATGTATAATCCCCTCAAGGGAGGTTCCTTGATGCTTGTGAGGGGCTCTTGATCTAGGGAATTGGATCTGTGCTTCAGTTCCCTGAATTGAGCCTGAATACCTTCAATCCCCCCACATACGCTGTATAATCCTATGGGTTTAGCGCTCCCCCATGATTATAATAATAATAATGCTATGTATGATAATTTATGTAACTATTTATGTGTACCTGTACCTGAATAAACTTACACCAAAGGCAGCTAGGGCTGTCAGCCAAGTGTCACTGGAAGAGATGTACCCACGTAGTGAATGTGGTTCATTATATCGGGTTTGTGTACATAGTGGGTGATTGTGACGTCACTACAAGACGCCACGCTCCACGTGTTTATGATAAACACAGCTGATGGCATAAACAGTCACATTTGTTAGTGGGAATGGAAATGCAAGAACCCCGATGAAAATAGGTCACTTTGACTTTTTGGGTTATCCTAGGTAATTTACACTATGTATGATAATTGCACAGAGATTTAGCAGTGGAGCTTTAGATATGAGATGTAGCAGATGAAGACAGGGTCACAAGTGAGCGGGGCCCTCTAGTGGAAGTGTATGAGGCCCATAAAGTGGGCCAGAATTTTAAATGTGGTGAGATGTAGCAGCTAAAGACGTGATGACATGTGGGCGGGGCCCACTAGTGGAAGTAGCTCATGTCCATTAGTTGGGCTCCGTCCTTATACTCCTGCATTATATTGAAAACTTCTACCTTTGTTCTGGTGATATAGCCGGTGGTAGCAGGTTGAAGATTCTTGGGCGACGGCTGCCTGGGGTGACAGAAATAATCTGGTACATCTGTAATGTATAGTAACTTGAAGAGGGGTTTGTAAAAAGATATCGTAACCAGGAAAAAAAGAAACAATCTGGGGTGGCAGTAATCTGAAGTGTGTTGCGATAAAGATGTGGGTGATAAAAATGAATCCTGAGGGAGCCGTCGTTTAAAATAAAAGACTTTTGGGTGATAAAAATGAATCCTGAGTGAAGTATCCGAAATAAAAAAAACGTGATGTGTACAACGTACCTTCATAATCACATGTCGGTTTTTTGTTCCAGTTGCCACCAATTTCTTGTACCTGGTACTGCGTGTGCTAGTGCCGGGAGATTACCTATTTTTTGTATTACATATTTGTAGCTGTAAGAGCAAAGCTAAGCTCGTGGCGTTCCACCTTCAGTATTTATTTTATCGTGCAGTTTTTTTGAAGTCTTAGATGGTAGTAGTATTTCCTCTCCATGTAAACCATTCCACTGTTTTACCATTGTTTGCAAAGCTTTCTAGTATCCTTTCAACATCTCTCCTCCTTTTAGTTTAAAGTTACGGCCTCTTGTTTTACCAGTTGATGTTTTTTTCTCTCTGTGCCATGATTGCTTCAACAATTAAAACAATGTATCGGTAATGTGCAGTTATTATTCTGTCTGACTGCATATATATGAATGTGTTAATTACGGTGCCCCGTGGCCTGGTGGCAAAAGCTCTCGCTTCACACGGTGATGTCCGGGTTCGATTCCCGGCGAAGGGGTGGAAACATTGGACGTGTTTCCTTACACCGGTTGTCTATGTTCACCCACCATTAAAATGGGCACCTGGGTGTTAGTCGACTGTCGTGGGTCGCATCCTGGGACAAATCTGACTTAATTTGCCCGAAATGCTCTGCATAACAAGGAGCTTTCTATATAGTAGTATGTCATTGATGTCAACTATGGTCTGTATACCTTGTACATGTACTTGTGTAGTAAATAAATATATTATTATTATTTTGTCATAGGCACTGATTAGACACTTGGCCTGTTGTGTGTGTGTGTGTGTGTGTGTGTGTGTGTGTGTGTGTGTGTGTGTGTGTGTGTGTGTGTGTGTGTGTGTGTGTGTGTGTGTGTGTGTGTGTGTGACCATGAGTAATAACAGTAGCAACAGGCCGGTACCGTTTGGTAAATTTGACATAGATCATTCCTGATTTTGGTTTTCGTGGGGTGACTTAATCAAAGCTTTTCTAATCGGCCTCAAACTGTCAACACTGGTTTCCTACCTAGAAGGTTGGCATTGTTATCCGGGTCTGTTGGAATCAATTTGTCATTATTTTTTATGAAAACGTCGGCCGTTTCCCGAGGCAGGGTGACCCGAAAAAGAAGAAATACTTTCATCATTAGTCTCCACCCCAGTCTTGCCAGAGGTGTACTTACACTACAGTTGAAAAACTGCAGCGTATCTCTTGTGAAATAACTTGAGTCTATTTCTTCTGAACGACTTCTTATCTAAAGGCTGATGCGTTTTACATTAGGAAGCAGTGTAAAAAAATTTTCAGTGTCTATCTTGATTAATTTTTCAATGCCAAGAGTTAGCTGCCTTAGCAACTTAAGCCGTACTGTATTAATCTTTTTGCGTGCAAAAGGGGGATACCTTTCTTGGATTGAGCAGCGACGGAAACTGGAAAATTGCATTTATCTGAATGTAACTAATTATGTACATAATAGTAAATGATAACAAAGATTATTATTTATCAATGTTACATAGACAAGTAGGAATTTGGGACACCTAGGTCACAAAAAATGTCCCCCTTCGATACCTACCACTGTCATAACCACAAGTTGCTCTGGACCTATTAATTAAATGAAATATACATACACTAGGAATACTGGTAAATATATAAATTTGTGGACTGTATATTAAAAATAATAAATGGTTATATATATATATATATATATATATATATATATATATATTATATATTATATATATATAATATATATATATATATATATACACACACAATTACATAACAGAAGGAAAATATATCTTAATATCACTCACCAATTTGACTGGAGATTAATGTGTATCATACTCAGAAAACCTCACTCTAACTAAATATATGAAAATAATGCTGGCCAGAATTACACACAAATCTAGAGAGCTTATCTGAGGTTCCTGGAGCTGTCTTGTTCAGTCGTCTGATATCTCAAGTTATGCAGGAATGCACATCCACCAATTTCGCCTCCTATTTGAGAGGTGTCAACACAATTTTAACCACTAGAGCACGAAAAATTCTTCCCATTACACCAACGTTTGTACAAAATTCAAAACCAAGATGGCGAGTCTCCTGCCCAGACGCAGGCTTTCCGTTTTCTATGACATAAATATTATTAAATACAGTATGGCCATCTATTTCCATATAAATACTGAATTTCTGGAAAATATATACAGTATTTTCCACAGAAACATTATTTACTGTCTTTATGAATAACGGTAAACTTGTTGAAGTTACTCAATGAGGAAATATCCTCGCTGTTTAAATCCAAATAATGATGGGATCTTCTTCCATGGAGTGTTCCTGGTAAACAGTAGTCACCCAGTCATGGTTTATGGGATATACCTATCACGTGAAGGGAACTCAATCTCAGGGGTAAACGGGGAATTTCAATAGGTTAACCAGGCGACTGCTACAGGGCAGCTACACGACAAGTTGTCATGTAATGGAATAATCTTGGTTTCTACAGATGGGCGAGAATGTAGTGTTGTACCAGCGTTGTCTGGCCATCAAACTCACAAGAGACCATCCACCACCCACCCGTCCATCCTCCGCCTTCGAAGAGGTGGGCGGGCGCAAGGTTCCATCCACCACCTCTACCACACCCTCCACGGATAGCGACACTCCCACACCCACCAACGGTCCGCCTCTAGGTTCACTGACGACCACTACCCCTGTAGTTTCTGACCTGACAACCTCTGTACACTCTGCCATCAGCACCACCACCACCAACCATCAAGATGGATACCTCCTCTTTCTGGTAACTACTCACGCACCACCCTCGTTAATACATTTGTGGAGAAATTTTCTCCAACCTCCAGGGGGATGATCGACGCCTCTGGGGGCAGCAGCCCCCTCCCTTGGGGTTGGAGAAAATTTCTCCACAATAGTTGTTGCTTCTTATTTCACTTCATACACTTGTTTGTTGTTGTCTATTTGTAACGAAATGTTATTTGACGTTTTAATTTATACACCACATTGTGTACCTACACTGATCTATATGACATTGTTTATAACGTTAAAATAAGAACTCACTACCGTATGTTTACCTAATAAAACTACGGTGCTGATCACTTGCTACTAGGCTGAGGGACTGATTACCTCGTCTTCCACTGTCTTCTTTATATATTTCTACAGTTCCCATATCATGTCCATGTACTGATAAAGCCACTGGATGGCGAAACGTCTACAAAGTGAAAATACACAGATGTACGTGTCTAATTCATACCTACTGACACCATCTCAAACTTTCGTACCCACTTCTTGCTCTAGAATAAAAGGCAGCATTCTCATGCCTCTGCTTCGTATAATTTTAAATTTTAAAGGGGTGGAGAGGTAAGCTAGTGAAAGCCTCGGTCAAATGACAAAAGTTCCAGTGGCGGGTAACCATTGACTCTGAGTCAGGAAACAATTATCCTGTTTTCTGACGATTTTACCTAACCTCAGCTTCACGTTGATCGAATCATCGAAGATACGAAGCTGAACACTTACCAAGGCTGAGGGACTGACTGCTTCAAGCTTACTTTTTCAAGTCTGAGGGACTGACTACAAGCTTACTTATTCAAGGCTGAGGGATTGACTACTTCAAGCTTACTTCTTCAAAGCTGAGGGATTGACTACTTCAAGCTTACTTTTTCAAGGCTGAGGGATTGACTGCTTCAAGCTTACTTCTTCAAGGCTCAGGGACTGATCACCGCATGTCTATCTTTCCACTACTTTTGCTGTCTTCAGTATTAAGTCACCTGTGCATTTAGCCTCTAGCGCTCCCAGTAATTGAGGTGTTTTATCTCCGTTATGCGCGCCGTGAAAGTTCTCTGTACATTTTCTAGGTCGGCAACTTCAGGTCACTTGTTCTATCTAGGCTGGAATATTGCTGCACACTAACAGCACCTTGCAAGGCAGGTGAAATTGCCGACCTAGAAAATGTACAGAGAACTTTCACGGCGCGCATAACGGAGATAAAACACCTCAATTACTGGGAGCGTTTGAGGTTCCTAAACCTGTATTCCCTGGAACGCAGGAGGGAGAGATACATGATTATATACACTTGGAAAATCCTAGAGGGACTAGTACCGAACTTGCACACGAAAATCACTCACTACGAAAGCAAAAGACTTGGCAGACGATGCACCATCCCCCAATGAAAGCAGGGGTGTCACTAGCACGTTAAGAGACCATACAATAAGTGTCAGGGGCCCGAGACTGTTCAACTGCCTCCCAGCACACATAAGGGGGATTACCAACAGACCCCTGGCAGTCTTCAAGCTGGCACTGGACAAGCACCTAAAGTCAGTTCCTGATCAGCCGGGCTGTGGCTCGTACGTTGGTTTGCGTGCAGCCAGCAGCAACAGCCTGGTTGATCAGGCTCTGATCCACCAGGAGGCCTGGTCACAGACCGGGCCGCGGGGGCGTTGACCCCCGGAACTCTCTCCAGGTAAACTCCAGCCTGAAGAAGCCTGCTGAGGAGGCGAAATGTTTCGCCAATAAAGGCACCCAACTGTTGCACTTGTCTTGATCATCTTCCTTCTATATGTTTATGCACTCCATGTCCATCCTGTAAAAGGGAATTGTATTAACTGTTCTCTTACAGGCGTGGCAAACGGCTAATCTGGTGTGTGTGTGGGACAAGGAGTTACTGGTGGCCGTGCAGGAGACAGAGTACGTTGGTCACCTAGTTGGTGGCGTGGTGCTGGTGGGAGGGAGTTCCTGTGTGTTGGCTGCCCTCACACATGCCTGGTCCAGGGCTCTCCTCGCTGCTCCAACTGGCTTCACCATCACCATGTTTGGTGGGTACCCCTTCCTCCTTCATGCCTTGGTCACTCAGGATTTTGGTGCTCCCAGTATACAGCTTGAAGCATGTATCACAGCCTGAATGATTAGGAACTGCGTAAAGGTATGGGGGGTGGCTGGTGGTAATTCCTCTTTTAATTGAAGCGAGTGTGTTGAACCTTTTTTTACTTATTCTGTTATCTCGTAGCATACTTATTGCCTCCCTACTTTTGCTAGGGTATTTTGCACTGTTTGTTATGTCTCCTGCTATTGCAAGGGGGTTGTTTCAGGTCCCGATTTGTAACCAGTCCCAATAGTATTATCCAGATACTTGGTGACAGTAATAGTAGGATAGATTTTTATGTCATTGGTAGTCCATTTGGAAGGATTTTTCAAATGAACTGTGTACACACATACACACACACACAATTTTCAACACATCCATTGAAACTGGGCAACTACCTGAGGTATGGAAGACGGCAAATGTAGTCCCTATTTTTGAGAAAGGAGACAGACATGAGGCACTAAACTATAGACCAGTGTCACTGACGTATAGTATGCAAAGTCATGGAGAAGATTATCAGGAGAGTGGTGGAGCACCTAGAACAGAACAAACTTATAACGACAACCAGCACAGATTCAGTGAAGGCAAATCCTGTGTCACAAACCTACTGGAGTTTTATGGCAAGGTAATGGAAGTAAGACACTAGAGAGAGGGGTGGATAAATTGTATTTTCATGGACTGCAAGGCCTTCGACACAGTTCCTCACAAGAGATTAGTGCAAAAGCTATAGGATCAGGCACGTATAACAGGAAGGGCACTGCAGTGGATCAGAAAATACCTAACAAGGAGGCAACAACGAGTCATGGTATGTGACGAGGTATCAGAGTGGGCGCCTGTGATCAGCGGGGTTCCACAGGGGTCAGCCCTAGGACCAGTGTTTTTTTTTTTTTTTTTATATGTGAATGACATGACTGAAGGGATAGACTCAGAAGTGTCCCTGTTTGCAGATGATGTGAAGTTAATGAGGAGAATTAAATCGGATGAGGATCAAGCAGGACTACAAAGAGACCTGGACAAGCTGGAAGCTAGGTCCAGCAACTGGCTCCTCGAATGCAACCCCGCCGAATGCAAAGTCATGAAGGTCGGGGAAGGGCAAAGAAGACTGCAGACAGAGTATAGGCTAGATGGTCAAAGACTGCAAACCTCAGTCAAGGAAAAGGAACTTGGGGTGAGTATAATACCGAACACATCTCCTGAGGCACACATCAACTAGATAACTGCTGCAGCATGTGGGATCTGGCAAACCTGAAAATAGCATTCCAGTACCTCAGTAAGGAATCGTTCAAGACTGTACACCGTGTACGTCAGGGCCATGCTGGAGTATGCAGCACCAGTTTGAAACCCACAACTGGTCAAGCACCTCAGGAAATTAGAGAAAGTACAAAGGTTTGCAACAAGGCTAGTTCTAGAGCTAAGAGGAATGTCCTATAAAGAAAGATTATGGGGAAATCGGCCTGACGACACTGGAGGACAGGAGGGTTAGGGGAGACATGATAATGACATACAAAATACTGTGAGGAATTGACAAATTGGACAGAGACAGGATGTTCCAGGGAGGGGACAGAGAAACAAGGGGTCACAATTGGAAGTTGAAGACTCAGATGAGTCAAAGAGATGTTAAGAAGTATTTCTTTAGTCATAGAGTTGTCATGAAGTGGAATAGTCACACACACAGACACACACATCATTTGAAACTGGGCAACTCCCAGAGGTATGGAAAATGGCAAATGTAGTCCCAATTTTTAAAAAGGGAGACAGACATGAGGCACTAAACTACAGACCTGTATCACTAACGTGTATAGTATGCAAGGTCATGGAGAAGATCATCAGGAGGAGAGTGGTGGAGCACCTGGAAAGAAACAAGTGTATAATTGACAACCAGCATGGTTTCAGGGAAGGAAAATCCTGTGTCACAAACCTACTAGAGTTTTATGACAAGGTGACAGAAGTAAGACAAGAGAGAGGGGGGTGGTTTTGACTGCATATTTTGGACTGCAAGAAGGCCTTCGACACATTTTCCTCACAAGGGGTTACTGCAAAAGCTAGAGGTCAGGCACACATAACAGGAAAGGCACTGCAAGGATCAGAGAATACCTGACTGGGAGGCAACAACGAGTCATGGAAACGCGATGAGGTGTCAGAGTGGGCGCCTGTGACAAGCGGGGTTCCACAGGGGTCAGTCCTAGGACCTATGCTGTTCTTGGTATATGTGAACGACAATAACGAAGGGATAGACTCAGAAGTGTCCTTGTTGCAGATGATGCGAAGTTAATGAGAAGAATTCAAATCGGATGAGGATCAGGCAGGGCTACAAAGAGACCTGGACAGGCTACAAGCCTGGGCCAGAAACTGGCTCCTTGAATTTAACCCTGCCCCAAAAGCCAAAGTCATGAAGATTGGGGAAGGGCAAAGAAGACCGCAGACACAATTAGTTTAGATGGACAAAGACTGCAAACCTCACTCAAGGAAAAAAAATCTGGGGGGGAGTATAACACCGAGCATATCTCCTGAGGCGCACATCAATCAGATAACTGCTGCAGCATACGGGCGCCTGGCAAACCTACGGATAGCGTTCCTACCTCAGTAAGGATTCGTTCTAGACTCTGTATACCATTTACGTCAGGCCCATACTGGAGTATGCAGCACCAGTTTGGAACCCACACCTCGTCAAGCACGTCAAAAATTAGAGAAAGTGCAAAGGTTTGCAACAAGACTAGTCCCAGAGCTGGGGGATTGTCCTACGAAGAAAGGTTGAGGGAAATCGGCTGACGAACACTGGAGGACAGGAGGGTAAAGGGGAGACATGATAAACGACATATAAAATACTGCGCGGAATAGACAAGGTAGACAAAGACGGGATGTTCCAGAGAAGGGACACAGACACAAGAGGTCACAATTGGAATTTGAAGACTCAGATGAATCAAAGGGATGTTAGGAAAGTATTTCTTCAGTCATAGAGTAGTCAGGCCGTGGAATAGCCTAGAAAGTGACGTAGTGGAGGCGGGAACCATACATAGTTTTAAGGCGAGGTATGATAGAGCTCATGGGGCAGGGGAGAGAGGACCTAGTAGCAATCAGCGAAGAGGCGGGGCCAGGAGCTGTGACTCGACCCCTGCAAACCACAAATAGATGAGTACACACACACACACACACACACGATCAGTGAAGAGGCAGGGCCAGGAGCTCGGACTCGACCCCTGCAACCTCAACTAGGTGAGTACACACACACCCCACACAACACACACACACACACACACACACACACACACACACAACCCCACACACACACACCACACAACACACACACACACACACACACACACACACACACACCACACCCCACACACACCACTCACACACACACTTTTTCCTTCCCCCTCTCTCTCTCAAAGGGTAGCCTTCAGGAAGTTCAACAGTCATTACAGGCCCTTGATACAACATTCGTTAGGTCCATCTTGGAGTACACCGGTCCAGAATGGAGCTTGTACCTGAAAAAGCATGTTAAGAATGCACAAATAACTCGCACATAGGAGAATGAAGTTTATAATACACAACTTATAAATGATGTTTCATGGTTCCAGTCACAGTATTGTGCCTTTTTATTCTTCATGCTAAGAAGCTTGAGTAAGTGTGAAAGTATGCAGCGAGGCTTGTTAGTAAGTAAGCAAGTTTATTCAGGTATACACAAATACAGTTACATAGATTATCATACATAGCAGCATATGTGTAGAGAACCTAGGATAACCCAAAAAAGTCAGACAGAGTGACTTATTTCCATTGGGGTCCTTTAAGGGCATAAACTTTAAGGACATAAACTGCAAGGGAAGGCTAAGGGAATTGAACCTAACAGGCATTAGAGGACAAGAACCAGGGGAAATGATAACAACATACAAAATATTCAGAATAATTGATAAGGTAGACAGGGATAGCCTGGCTGAGAGGTGAGAAATAGGAACTCCTGGACACCGTTGGAGTTCAAGTCACAGATGAGCCACAGGGATGTTAAGAAGTATTTCTTCAGTCTCATGGTTGGGAAGTGGAATGCTCTGGGTGAAGCAGTGCCAGAGGCAGACTCCATAGATAGTTTTAAGAACAGGTACAATAGACCATATCACGGGCGGGGTTAGAACCCGCAATCAGAGAGCCTCAAAACTCCAGACCGTACCACGGGCGGGGTTAGAACCTGCCCGTGGTATGGTTTGTCTGCAATCGTGTCATTACGATTTCGTGAGTCAGGTACAACAGGCCCACAAGGCTAAGAGGGAGTGAATCTGGAGAGTGGCAAGTTCAGAGGCAGGGCCAGAATCTGTGAATCAACCCCTGCAACCACAAATAGGTGAGTAGAAATAAGTGAGTACATATACACACAGAGCTGAAATAATTCTTCCATTATTTGTTCATCAGAATATGTAATATCTCTGTGAATGCTCTTACATATTAACTGTTCAATATTTACATTAACCCTCTTTACAGTGTCTCCTCAATCTGTGTGTTGCAGGTGAGGTTTCTGGTTGCAGTGTTGTCACAGTACCTCAGGGACAGTTTACACCTCTGGGTGATGCATTATGCTGGGTGATTCACAGACTGACAAGAGATGGTGGACGAGCTGAAGCTGAGGCGGTTCGTGCAACGCTTGCCATTACCTTTCCAAGCCTCGTCGCTCCAGATGCAGCACACATTCATTCCACTCTGTCGAACCTCATTCGCCAGTGTAAAGTCTTTTACACGGGACATAGCTATGGCATCGTCCAACCCAATACTTACTTGCTGACGGCAGTACCCGACAAATCTCCTGGCAATTCACACACTTTATCTCCTACTGGGTCTTCTAGCCATCCATTTCCTGGAGTCATCAACAAACCTCATCTGTGTGGCACCAATGCCATGTGCAGCGACAACCTCTCACACGCTGCAGCTCAGACAGACCTGGCAGAACTCATAACAGGATCTTCTCAACCTGCAGATAAACTCATCACGCCCAGCCCCATTCCACCAGGTTAGCTGCTTGCAACATCCAAATCTTATAATCCTTCTTATTCTCACTCTGCCATTTTGCCTTCACTTGTACTAAACAATCACTGGTCTAGTAACTTCTTTCCTCTACTGTCTTGCTTTATTTCACCATGTGCAAAAAATACATCACTTCAAGCTACAGAGAAAGAATGAACATTAATAAAATTATGATTGTGTAGTAATCCACTGTTTAACAACTTAATCCCATCAATGGTGAAGGGCTCTCGATCCAAGAAATTGAAGCTACCCTTCCCTTCCTTGAATCAAACCTGAGTACCTACTATTCCTTAGCACTATAACCCTTATGGGTTTACCACTTCCTGATGAATATAATAATAAATAATAACAATAATAATAATAATAAATTTGACACAGTAAATAAGGGACTTCATAATGCACTAAAGGAACTGTTGATGAAAAACACTCATGAAAAGGCTAAGCTCATTGTAAAGTGGGATTTCAACTTGAGTACTACTGTGTATAAACATTATATGCATCAATGTTTTTTGTTATTCTGGTTGTGGTAGACTTGTAACATACTGTATTTTATAGTAGCGATTATTTATTCGTGCAGTAATCATTTGTTATGAGTAACATTCATTCATAAGTTATGTTACATTGAATGTGATTATACCTATCAGAATGTTTTCCACAGCACATTGGGCACCTACCACTTCTTCTATTAATCCATTCCATTGCATTGTTCTATCACTCTGTGTATGGTGTGTATGTAGAATGCAACTTCTGGGATTGAATGCTTTCATTGGTATGGTTCATCTGTTATTTTTACCTTGTATTTTAGGATTTTGGAGTGGAGGGTCATCAACTTTGGAGCGCCAAACATCACTGCGAGTGTTGTCGAGCCACCGCAGTCATTCCCGCACTGCTTCCCTTAGACTGTCGCCCAACAAGGCTGCCTTGCTTGCGACTGCATTTGCCAATGAGCCTTCAAGTAGTTTGCACTCCAACATCTACAAGGCACATGATATGTCCGACATCACTGTGCGAGGTGTGTTTGGCAGCACAATTGTGGACAGGATCATTTCATTTTCAGTAACTAGGAGCTGGTTTCTTTGTAACTAGGAAACCCAGACAAATATGTTTTTGTGTGGCACCAGTTTATTATACATGTTTGGTCTGATGATTGAGTAAGAGGAATGATCCAAAATATTTTATGAAGTTACTTTAGTTTTTAAGGGGCTGTATTACAAGATAAATTAGGTATCATCGCATGTATGATTGAGTATCATTGTATATAATGAGTCCACTTTCAAGTGGCAGGATTTTGTTCTGTCATCGTATCTAGTTATTATCTCCACACATTAAACTAGGGTAATTATACACAGATGCTTGTACATATAATGTTGTGCAGTGAGCTCATGTGTTGTGGAATTTGAGCTAATTTTGTGGAAATGGGACTTACATATTGGAATTAGTACCTTTAAGTACACATACTTCAGTGCTTTTTCTTATTTCATTTTTATTTTTTAAAATCAGATACAGTGCAGGGTGTGGATAACTTTTTACCTGTCACAGGAATAACTGCAGCAAGTCTGGCATTGTCTTGCACTTCAGCATAAGTTTTACATGATGGTCTAAAGTTCTACATTGTCTCCAAAATGCCATCACCCTGTCAATATGTGTTAGTGTCCAATTATGGGTCAGGTGATGTCTGTGTACACATGTAGGAAGCTGGCATCAAACAGAACTAACTTTATAGAAATAAAATGGAGTACAGAATAAAAATACAATTAGGGTGATTGACATATATAAACTACTCTGTAGAAAGCCCCTTATTATGCAAGGTATTTTGAGCTGAGGGTAGAAGAACCCTCACAACAAGCTTCAGGTATAGTCACAGGTAGTCTTTTTATCTCCTTTGTTTACTCTACATCTAGAAATAAAGCAGCATTTTACTCAAATCTAATTGGTCTATAAAGTTACTAAATGAGTCAAATTTATTTAAGTTTATGTCTATTAAAATTTATGTTATTGCTTTGTTTTCTACAGCAGGAGAACGAGGGTCAGTACTGAGCAAGTTATTGAGAGTGTCTCCACGCCGACGGTTGGGGTCATTCTCTGCACAGTTTCCTCCGCCTGAGTGGAGTGATAATGATGCTCCAGCTGTCCACCTTCATTGTGTTGCTGTCCAGACAGTGTCGCAACACAAACAGGTGTGCTGTACTCACTTTGGATGCCTTTGTAAATGTTGTAGTAACACACATAACTATATGAGAATGTGTGTAGCTTGGAATATTTGCAAGTGGGTAATCTGCATTTACCAACTGCATTATTGTTAAAGATGTATGTCAACTTGAATTTTTAAAGAACTTTTATGTATTATGTATTTTGGCTAACTTATTCAGCTTTTACTGTACTATATTGGGTAAACAATAGAGCATTTAAGTGCTATTTTGCTATTTTTTAACATTCTGATAATCCATGCTGTATTAATGTGTTATATTGAGGGTTTACTTTATACCACTGTTTTTAACCTATGTTTTTTCAGCAGGAAGAAAAGGAGTTTTGGTGGTGTGGTGCATCACAGTGGACACCACGTTCTGCAACACTTCCACGCCGGCTACGCCGCCCCCAGTCTGCCACTCCACCATTGTCACAAAGATCAGACTCTTCTTCTCCAGCACCACAACAGACATCTTACTTTCATATTCAGGGTTCTCATTTCCTCTCTCATGTTCACCTTCAGATGTCACCATCTCATTGTTCTCACACGCCTGCAAAGGAAAAAGATGAGAGGCTTGGGGCTGAAGTTTCACCCATGCATCGCTGTGGAGAGCCGGTTTTTATCACCAGGAGTCACAGACATCGATCACCAGCTTACCAGCATTATGAAAATCATGAACATTGGTCACCAGTTCATCCAAACGCTGGGAACCATAAGCATCGATCACCAGTTCATTCCAATACTGAAACTTACAAACATCATTCTCCAGTTTGCCAATCTATAGAGAATTACAAATATAGACCACCAGCTCACCACTATTCTGAAAACAAGAAAACTCACAATGAATGTTCATTTGAATCCTCGCCCAACAAAAGAACTCTCCATAACCAGGTACCTATAAAGAAACAGATACACGAGGAGTTTCCTCACCACTCATTGCTAGAATCTCACACAGTTACAACCAAAGCACAGACACACAAGAGACAAACAGAACTACACCAAAAGAAGTCAAGGGAGGAAATTAAAGTGCCATTACAGGAGACTTGTACTAATGTGTCCAGAGATGTCCAAATAAAAAAGTTGAGTGAGGTTCTCATCAAAAGAAGTGGAGAGGGAGTAGAGAGAACACAGGACGAGAACATGCAAAGATCTGAGGAGATGCCAGTGAGCCAACGCCACAGACACAGGCCACATCATAGTATAAAAGAAGATGAGAACATACAGAGATCTGAGGAGATGCCATTGACCCAAAACCATAGACATAGGCCACATCACAATATGAAAGAAAAAAATCAGAAGCAAGAGGAAAGCAATCTCAAGAACCAGAGTACAGAGAAATACCAAAGAAGAGATAAAGACAGGGAAGACAGCAAGGATGAAATAGTAAGTAATGCAGATAAAAAAAGCCAGACAAATAATGTCAAATCACATAAAAATATTCCTTTTGAAAATAAGGAAGAGCGAAGTCAGAAGATGCTCGAGCTTAAAGAAGGTGAGAAAGAACCACAAATTGAAATCTCAAAAACTGGTAAAAAGCCTGAATGTAAAGAAGCAAAGAGGAATGAAAACTGCCAACGGCAGAAATTGAAGAGAGATCTTCCTAGGAAGAATGTTTTGCAATATGACCGCTCTTCTCTGCAACTGGATCTAGCATCTACTAACATGAACAATTCTCGAAAAGTGGTATCATCTCCTCAGCGTCCAGAAGGACTTAAAAATAATATGCTGCACAATGACAATGGGTTGACAGACATCAGTAAAGGCTCATGTCATGATCTTACCTCCCGTAATCTAGGTTATCAAGAGGTGGACAAATGCCACAAGCAGATGTGCAGTCAGACCCTTGATCAGGTGCAACAGCAGACAGTGAGTCCAACACAGCAGACACAGATATCTCCTTACACCAAAAAGCAGTGCCTTTGCTCGCCCAAGAAGAAAATATCTCCAGAAACTGAGGCACAGAATGACACCAACATTGTAGTTTTAGACAACAAACAAGCAACTTCTAAAGATGTAAGTAGCACCAGTACAACTTGCATGGAAAAGGATGGTGACAAAGTCAGCAGTAGTCCAGATGCTGAGGTGGTGTCAGTTAGTACGTATCCCAGCCTTCCAGAACTTAACCTCAATTTCAGCTCCTTGGCAGCCCAGAAGATTTTGTGTGGTGCAAGTATCAACAGCATCGACACACTGGTGGAGGTCAACTTGGCAGCGGAGAAGCACAACATAAATAATAAACATTCAGAATCTGTCACCAATACTGACTTTGGTTTTCTTTAAACCAAGCATTTGCAAAAGTATAGCGATACAAATGCGAAAACAAAAACGCCATTTGTATAGTTTAGGGAAATTTTCTTCACAGATTTTTTAGAATACAGTGCATTTACTATCAGGAGGAAGAGAGGAAGAAAAATATATCCCCAAATTTTCACATAAACTCTGTCGTAAAGACCACACTGGTGAAAGAGGTTTTAGGTCAGTGCAGGATAAATATCTGCAATTTCTCCTTCCTCTTTTCTCCGGGGTTAATATTAAATGTAGGAAAGCCTTCATGTGACAGGGCAGCATGGGAATTCAGTTTCATAGAAAAATGGATGTAGAGTAGGTTTTTTTTTTTTTTTTTTTTTTTTTCAACAAGTCGGTCGTCTCCCACCGAGGCAGGGTGACCCAAAAAAGAAAGAAAATCCCCAAAAAGGAAATACTTTCATCATCATTCAACACTTTCACCACACTCACACATTATCACTGCTTTTGCAGAGGTGCTCAGAATACAACAGTTTAGAAGCATATACGTATAAAGATACACAACATATCCCTCCAAACTGCCAATATCCCAAACCCCTCCTTTAAAGTGCAGGCATTGTACTTCCCATTTCCAGGACTCAAGTCCGACTATATGAAAATAACCGGTTTCCCTGAATCCCTTCACTAAATATTACCCTGCTCACACTCCAACAGATCGTCAGGTCCCAAGTATCATTCGTCTCCATTCACTCCTATCTAACACGTTCATGCACGCTTGCTGGAAGTCCAAGCCCCTCGCCCACAAAACCTTAGTTTATTAAACTTTTTACCAAGATAGTTTCTAAAGGCGTAAAGTGGGGGCATACAGTGAGGTCTTATAGTGCCGCCCAGCAGCGTACCTGAGGGTTTACAACAACACAGACTAGATACGTTTCTCGTCTATAGTTAAGCAAGAGACTTTAATTGCATAAAGACCCCTTTACTTTGATTAAAGTTGTACAAATTACTGTACCCTGTACCTGTGTATAAGTTTTGCTCTGTACCCTTGCTTTGTTATTCCTGAAAAGTCATCTTGGTGAAATGTTGAATAAACCAAGATTGTACTCCAGTCGTCCATGGTTCATTTTGCATTAGAGTTCAGTAAATGTGTCAGAGAGCTTAATCTTTGATACTCACTCCTGTGTCCCCATGTAGAATAATGTTATTGCCAATTTGAGTTACGCTTAATTAAATTCGAAATACATTATGTACGACTTGTAATTGTCTCTTTGGAATGGACCAGATTATGGAGAGTATGTAATAGGAATTCAAAACACTATGAAGGTGTAATCCAGTCTCTGGTTTAGATAATATTAGCAGCTCATATAATTGTAGATATAGTTATCTTTGTATACTAACATAAACATACATTTTATACTAAAATTAATTTATCTGCTCACCACAATAGAAGTCAGTTTGTAAATATTTAATCAGTGTAGCAATGTTCATAGAGTGAGTGAGAGTGAGTGTGAGAGTAAGTGAATATGTGTGTGTGTGAATGAGTATGTGTGTGTATGCAGCGGATGCTGGAGAGTTTTTAGGGTCCTTTGAAGTAACCATAGGGTCTCCCAAGGTGGCCTTAAACACTTTTAACTCATTTCAGTATTTTTCAGAATTGATTTTGCATAGCACTAGATTCTATGCTGTAAACTAGCAACCATGTACCGTATACCAAATTAATGTACCTGTACAGTACGTACATGTATGCTTTGTGCTAAAAAGTGCGAGCATTCATGCAAGTGGAGTTGATGCACATTAACTGCATGTACTTCTTCACTGAAACATCAGTATATATTAGTATAGTTATAGTAAATATTCTTATACAAATGCATGCAGAAGAGTTTCAGAAATTATATGTCATATACGTACAGTGGTAACTCGGGATACGAATTTATTTCGTTCCAGAAGGCTGTTCGAGTGCCAATACCGAACAAATTTGTTCCCATAAGAAATAATGTAAATTAGATTAATCTGTTTCAGACCCCCAAAAATACACTTACAAAGCACTTACATAAATACACTTACATAATTGTTCAAGTTTTGAGCATTTCGTATCCCAAGGTACCACTGTACTGACATGTAATCACATGATGTCTGCCATAATTATCTTAGTATACTACCATCACAAGTTGAGCTATTTAGATGTAACTTAGGAGTATTTATGCCTTGCAAGTGATATGAGCAAATTTTAACACTTCACTTTTGCCTAATTATGAACATTTTTATTTAGTTTGGGCTAATAATTACTACACATTAATTCTTGTTGTTGCAAGATTTGTGTGTAGCAGCCATAGAACGAGAGTAACCTAAGACTAAACTCATTTGCATCATCATTCTTTATAAGAATATAAATTCATTGCAAGAATTTTTAATACAATGCTGTACTTATTCTGTGTGTTGAAAATGGTGTCCCAGGACAGGCATATGTTGGTTTTTCTTGTATTGTGGCACTAAAATAGCAACCCTACAACATGGTACTGATGTGTTGTAGTTCATGTTGGAGTGGCAATCACATTAACTCAGGGAAATTATTATATGCATTCATTATGTTTGGTGCTCACTAATGCTTCTTGTGTCATTTAGTCTGCAGTGCAAGGTGGTGGCAGGGTCCAGCGCAGTGCTGGGTCATCCTGGTTCTGTGTGGGGTTGTAAATGGTATGGTGATACTGATGAACTGTGGAAATTGATACATACCAGGGAACGGGTGGGATTTAAACCAAGGCGAGTGAGTCCTAAAATTCACAGGCCAGTATGTTAACCACTTGGCCAGCTGGCTTCATTAACCCTTTCGGGGTTTCAGACGTACTGGTTTGGCTTATGCACCAGGGTTTTTGATGTACTAGTACGCCTAAATTCTAGCGCCCTCAAATCTAGTGAGAGAAAGCTGGTAGGCCTACATATGAACGAATGGGTCTATGTGGTCAGTGTGCGCATTATAAAAAAAATCCTGCAGCACACAGTGCGTAATGAGAAAAAAACTTTGACCGTGTTTTTGGATTAAATCAGTGACTTTGCACTGTATTTTCACATGGTATTTATTGTTGTATTCTAGTTTTCCTGGTCTCATTTTATAGAAGAAGACATATTACAGAAATTGAGATGATTTTGACTGGTTTTACAAAGAAAAGTACCTTGAAATTGAGCTCAAAGTAACAGAAATGTTCGATTTTTACCAAAGTTCAAAAGTAAACAAATCATGCTAAGCGTCCAATACACGTCAACTGGTGAGTCTGATATTCTTTCACAAGTGCGCTGATATTATTTATACCATTTCTACACTAATGCATTAGTCTTCATAACAGTAAATCTTCTATTTTTTGTGAGAATAAAAATTTAAAGTGGAAAGCAAAAGAATGTAAGAGGGGCATGGGGACGTGACTAATGAACAGAGGAAATGTTATTTTAGTGCCAGGAATGTATTTCTTGTTTATTCTGGACCCTATTTGGAAATTGGCATCTTATGAAATTTGTGTGAAATTGGCAAAATTGCTAAATTCTGACCACTGTACGTACTGGATAGTTGAAATCGGTAAATGGGTGGTTTCTTGTACTCATTCGATAGAAAAAATGGAGTTCTAGCGAAATAGTTATGATTTTTGTCGACTAGTACACTAGAATAGGCCGAAAATAGGGCTCAAAGTGGGCAAAATCGCCGATGTGTAAACATCGTCAAGACTGCTAACTTTGCAAGAGCATAATTCTGTAAGTTTTCCATCAAATTTCATACTTTTGGTGTCATTATGATTGGGAAAAGATTCTCTATCTTTTCATAAGAAAAAATAATTTTTTTTTTTTTTTTTTTTTTGAAATTTGGGCGATCCTGAGAACAAGTCTAGGAGAGGGCCTGGAGACCCTGAAAGGGTTAGGATTTATCCAACCTCCCAGGGGTTCAAATCCCACCCGTTCCGTGATTTATTCGCAGTCATGTTTTTATGATTTTGTGAGTCAAACTGGACACTTGTGTGTTCAGGACATTTATAAAGTAAGTGTTTTCCCATAAGTGCCTTCATCAGTCCTAAATTTAGGAATTATGAAGCCACTCTTGTTTCCTTTAATAAATGTCCTAAACTGTACACAAGTGGCCCTTTCCACACAGTACTGTACATTAATGATTCCCTCTTACATACCTGCAGAGACAATACAGTTTATATGTGCAATATTATTTGGCATAGCTTTTCCTACTGGATTATTTAGTGTTTCTTATTTATGTATGCTAATATTGGTTGGTTATGTTTTAAGATAATTTATGATTTTTATATTTTTTTGTAAATAAAATAATATGTGCCAGAGGACACAAGTGTGCCAAAACATTTAAAATTAACTTCACAATTCAGATAACATTTTATCTCTTTGAACTTGGAGACATTTTGCATTTTGTGGATGTATGGAGCTAGATTTTCATACATGTGTATATTGTTTGGTGTGGAAAACCACATGCAGTGCAAATATGGCATGTACGTATATTGGTAATTTGTACTGGAAAAGGATTGCGTCTGCAGTTCAGACTTCTTAAATTGTTTTTGTAATAGGGCCCATATTTTATATGTTTAATCAACATAACTTTATTTTTAAATGTTTGTAATGTTCAAATAATATTGACCATAATATTACTGCCAAGTTTATTATGGATGATAATAGATGACACTGACTATGGTGATGTGTCATGGTAGAGCTGTTACTCAGTAAATATAGTAGCAATCAGTGAAGAGGCAGGGCCAGGAGCTATGAATCGACCCCTGCAACCACAAATATGTCTTGTATGTACTGTATATGACTACATCCCATTGTCTAACTTATGCAGAAAGTATGGGGGTTACCAACAGTTTAAGCAGCAACAAAGTCTCCCCTACATCCAGGAGTAATTCTTTATTGCTGGTTAACTATAAGAAACTATAGGTTAATTTAGATTAAGTTAGGTTAACATAACCTAGAATAACTGCCAAGTAGTATAGAAAAAAATCCACTGTTTAGATCATGTAGAAATTGACACACTGTATTGCACACAAAAATTAATTCTCAACTTTGAGGATAGGTTACCTGTTATTAATATTACAGTGCCAATATTATGGTTTTACTCATCTGACTTAAATTTATTATTAGAGCATACTCCATTTTTTTAAGAAGGCAGAATTTTTTTTATTACTCTGGAGTTTATCTGGAGAGAGTTCCGGGGGTCAACGCCCCCGCGGCCCAGTCTGTGACCAGGCCTCCTGGTGGATCAGAGCCTGATCAACTAGGCTGTTACTGCTGGCTGCACACAATCCAACATGCGAGCCACAGCCCGGCTGGTTAGGTACCGACTTTAGGTGCTTGTCCAGTGCCAGCTTGAAGACTGCCAGGGGTCTCTTGGTGATCCCCCTTATGTATGCTGGGAGGCAGTTGAACAGTCTCGGGCCCCTGACACTTATTGTATGGTCTCTTAACGTGCTAGTGACACCCCTGCTTTATATTGGGGGGATGTTGCATCGTCTGCCAAGTCTTTTGCTTTCGTTGCGAGTGATTTTCGTGTGCAAGTTCGGTACTAGTCCCTTTAGGATTTTCCAGGTGTATATAATCATGTATCTCTCCCGCCTGCTTTCCAGGGAATACAGGTTCAGGAACCTCAAGCGCTCCCAGTAATTGAGGTGTTTTATCTCCGTTATGTGCGCCGTGAAGGTTCTCTGTACATTTTCTAGGTCAGCAATTTCACCTGCCTTGAAAGGTGCTGTTAGTGTGCAGCAATATTCCAGCCTAGATAGAACAAGTGACCTGAAGAGTGTCATCATGGGCTTGGCCTCCCTAGTTTTGAAGGTTCTCATTATCCATCCTGTCATTTTTCTAGCATTTTTCTAGATGAAGAATACATTCTCAGATTGAGAGTGTCTCATATAGAAAATCCAATGCATAGTGACTTCTTCAAGATGATTACTATTGAACATCGATTTTGCATGACCTGAATGCTTATGTTATTACTAATATATTGATCAAACTTCATACTCTTAGCTATTTTTTTTCACCATCACTCATTCCCTGGTTGTCTTTCTGTTTTTTTATGAATTTTTGGTTAATGTATGGTATTTATATACATATAACTTATCACTTTTGTGGCCTATCATCTCCAAACACACCATTCATGGGAAGGTTTGATTACTGTAGGTAACTCAGGTTGAATTATGTGGGCTTATTAATATTAAAAATTATCCTAATTTGCAGAATATGTAATTTAATACAAGAGTACCTGTTGAGGCCATGTTGGTACACAGCATCCATCACTCACACACATAGTACACAGCATCCATCACTCACACACATAGTACACAGCATCCATCACTCACACACATAGTACACAGCATCCATCACTCACACACATAGTACACAGCATCCATCACTCACACACATAGTACACAGCATCCATCACTCACACACATAGTACACAGCATCCATCACTCACACACATAGTACACAGCATCCATCACTCACACACATAGTACACAGCATCCATCACTCACACACATAGTACACAACATCCATCACTCACATAGTACACAGCATCCATCACTCACACACATAATACACAGCATCCATCACTCACACAATTAGTACACAGCACCCATTACTCTCACACATAGTACACAGCACCCATTACTCTCACACACAGTATAAAACCATTATTACTTTCACACACAGTATACAGTCATTACTCTCACACACAGTATGCAGTCACTACTCTCACACACAGTATACAGTCATTACTCTCACACACAGTATACAGTCACTACTCTCACACACAGTATACAGTCATTACTCTCACACACAGTATACAGTCACTACTCTCACACACAGTATACAGTCATTACTCTCACACACAGTATACAGTCACTACTCTCACACACAGTATACAGTCATTACTCTCACACACAGTATACAGTCATTACTCTCACACACAGTATACAGTCATTACTCTCACACACAGTATACAGTCATTACTCTCACACACAGTATACAACAATTATTATTCCCACACACAGTATACACCGATCATTACTCACACACAATATACAACAATCATCGCTCACACAATATACAACAACCATTACTCTCACACAATACAGTGGACCCTCGACCAGCGATGGCATCGATTAACGATAAATCTGACTAGCGATACATTTTATCGCAAAAATTTTGCCTCGATTAGCGCTAAAAAACTCGACCAACACTATTCCTTCCATCTGAGACGCGTCCACTTCTGGCCAGTGTTTACAAGCCAGCCAGGCACCGCGGTTGCTTCCAAGCATACAATCGGAACATTTCATATTATCACAGCCTTTTTAGTGATTGCACCTGCAAAATAAGTCACCATGGGCCCCAAGAAAGCTTCTAGTGCCAACCCTACAGCAAAAAGGGTGAGAATTACTATGGATATGAAGAAAGAGATCATTGCTAAGTATGAAAGTGGAGTTCATGTCTCCGAGCTGGCCAGGCTGTACACAAAACCCCAATCAACCATCGCTACTATTGTGGCCAAGAAAATGGCAATCAAGGAAGCTGTTCTTGCCAAAGGTGCAACTATGTTTTCGAAACTGAGATTGCAAGTGATGGAAGATGTTGAGAGACTGTTATTGGTATGGATAAACAAAAAACAGATAGCAGGAGATAGCATCTCTCAAGCGATCATATGTGAAAAGGCTAGGAAGTTGCATGACGATTTAATTAGAAAAATGCCAGCAACTAGTGGTGATGTGAGTGAATTTAAGGCCAGCAAAGGTTGGTTTGAGAGATTTAAGAATCGTAGTGGCATACATAGTGTGATAAGGCATGTTGAGGCTGCCAGTTTGGACCAAAAAGCAGCTGAAAAATATGTGCAGGAATTCAAGGAGTACACAGACAGTGAAGGACTGAAACCTGAACAAGTGTTTAATGGTGACACTGACAATGTTGTGAAACACGTTAGGAATGTCATAAAGGAATGGGAGGTACAGACCTCTATGGGCAGATATGTTGTGCAACAGAGGTCCAGTGACTCTCAAGCTGGTCCTAGTGGCATTAAAAGAAGGGAAGTAACCCCGAAAAAGGACTTGCCACCTCAAGTCCTAATGGAAGGGGATTCCCCTTCTAAACACTAAGACCATCAACACACTCCCCTCTTCCCATCCCATCAGTCATCACCAGATCTTCAATAAAGGTAAGTGTCATGTAACTGTGCATGTCTTCTTCAGTTTGTGTGTATTAAAATTAATATTTCATGTGTTAAAATTTTTTTTTTTCAATACTTTTGGGTGTCTTGCACGGATTAATTTGATTTCCATTATTTCTTATGGGGAAAATTAACTTGACTAACGATTATTTTGACTAACGATGAGCTCTCAGGAACGGATTAATAGCGTTAGTCGAGGGTCCACTGTATACAACAATCATCACACACACAATATACAACAATCATCACTCACAATATACAACAATCATTACTCTCACACAATACGTATACAACAATCATCACTCATAATATACAGCAATCTAAAATAAAAATAAAAAATAAAATCATTACTCTCACACAATATACAACAATCATCACACACACAATATACAACAATCATTACTCTCACATACATGACACAACATATATTAATCTCACACATTTGCACGTGGCACCCGTTAGTCTCGCACGGCGGTTTCAGATTGACAGCTATTAAACCATGGAACAAGTAGGGTTTGAACTCATGGCAAGTGAGTTGTACAACTCCAGGCCAGTGTGTAAGCAGCTCGACCAGCTGGCTTTGTTTGCAATAGTGTTATTATGTTTATTGGTTCTTAATGTTCCTCCTGCAAGATTTAATGAGTAGAGATTCATCCCTTTAACTTTGGTAATTCCAGTCCATATTAATGTGGGTATGATTAATTTTTGCAAGTGACCATTCAGATGTGTTAGTCACTGATATATATTAATGTAGACATCTTACCGATGAATTTTATTCAAGCATTGTTACTCCTTCTTTACTATGATAATAAATATTTTTTAACAAATTTCAGTAAGGTATTAGTAGCATTTTTTATTTTTTTTTTGCAATAGTGAATTACACTAACAGTAGGTGATTATAGGGTTTTTGTATGTTGATTTTGGGATAATTGTCAAGTAGATAGCAATCAGGAAGCATGGATTCACTCTTGTGATAACAGTTATCTCCCTGGTTGTAATATTTCTCGTCAATGCCTTTTTATCCCCATAGCTCAGTAGATGGTCACATCCAGGGAGGTTCAGTGCTACCGTCCAGTCATATAAATGTGAAACAAAAAGCCTATTAATGTTTTTATTCTGTTCTTGAGCATTAAAAGTTACAGGTAAATCTTACAAACATTTAGTGTGACTTGCAAATGGTCCAGGTCAGACCGAAACATCGTCATGAGCTTCTCTCTCTTACATGCAAGTTATTTGTCTATTACAAACATTTACTTATACTCAGTATACACCTTTCTCAGCTAATTGTTTCTTAATACTGGTAATGCAGTACTTTTTTTTGTAGTATAGTACTGTATATTTTGTTTCCAAGTGTTGGAGGCCTAGTTTAAGATTGGGCTGTAGGGTCAGTGATCTCCAAAACTATTAGTAGATAATGATCTGAATATTTCATCCCCTAATTTAAGCTTTGTGAAAACATTATCTAGTTAGTGTTTTGAAGGAACTAGTATTGTATAGTTCCTAATTACCTGTAGCCTTCAGACTGGTGCTTTTGATGTACTGTATATATTGCAATATATAGGAGTGCTAATTGTTCATAATTGTTTTACATTGTGTATTCAGCCATCCAAATTTGAAAGGTTATGTTCCCAGAGGTCCTTGACAAAGCATAATCTGTGAATATAACTAAATTATGTTAATATAATTAATTTTGTTTCAGATTTGTGCTGATTTTGTATCTCAGAGGAATATCTCTGATAAGAAAAGATTAAAGAAAGCAGAGAGACTGGGCATGGGAAACCCAGTGTGCAGATTTTGACCAAAATACCATGGCTAGCTTTTAATTTAGGTAATGTGCACCAAGCCAAAGCAAAATAGGCACAACAAAATGTTTACATTTCCATTGTTTCTAATTTGTTACAAGAATGTATTGAATTAAACGTGCAGCTGATTGATGAATGTGATACTTCAGTATCATTCATCAAGTTGGTAATTTTCTGAACTACAGTGGACCCCCGGTTAACGATATTTTTTCACTCCAGAAGTATGTTCAGGTGCCAGTACTGACCGAATTTGTTCCCATAAGAAATATTGTGAAGTAGATTAGTCCATTTCAGACCCCCAAACATACACGTACAAACGCACTTACATAAATACACTTACATAATTGGTCGCATTCGGAGGTAATCGTTATGCGAGGGTCCACTGTATTTATATTCAGTACAGCTGACTACATTGGACATCTGTCTTAAGAATTATCCTGCCTGTTTATTTTTTATAATAAGAACATTCAGCCTTTCAGCTTTTGCATAAGAAAAACAGACTTCTTTGGGGAACAGAATGTATATTAAAATTATATTGTTATTTTTTGTAGTCAGCAATAATTGGCATAGTATTCACAACTGTCCGAACTATTCCACCACCCAAACAGTCCCTGCTCCCTTACACCGCAGAGTATTTGACCTGTATAAAGACTAAACATTTGCAAATCAGTATTTGCCCATGTCTTTCCACTGACTTTCAGTGCCTAGAATACATTATTTTTTCATCTCTGTTTACAATACATTATAAGCTATTTTTTTAACATGGCCTTTCCTCACCAACACAGGGTGACCCTAAGAGGAAAATACATTCACCAGTATTCATTCTCTAGTTGTTTTTCCAAAAGTACACAAACATCATAATTCAATGATCCTTGAAACCGAAATGATATCCTTCTAAACTGTAAATATGTATTAACTTGAGTCATAGTTACACACATCACATAACAGAAAATGGTTATTAAAACTAGTACAACCACACTGTGGAACTACCCTACCCTAATCTATAATGACATTTTATACTGAGGGTGTCTTGCTCTCCATACATTATCCATTAATGCTTTTCTTGTTATTTTTCATGTAATTAGCCTATGCGTGAGATTGGTAATAACTCATTGCAAACATGATGGTGACTGCATATACTTGTGCATTCTGGCTGTATACACCATGAAGTTAACCCCTAAACGGTCCAAACGTATATATGTGTTCTCTCGTGTAGCGCCCCAAATGTATACTATATACGTTTTCTTTGTCATTCATTAAACATTGCCACGATAAGCCTGAGTCGCCTAGACATGAGAGAATGGGTGTGCGCACTCACTGTGCGCCATATTAAAATAATTGGGGATGCCTGGGTACCATATGCTCTTTTTTCCTATTAAAAAAAAAAAAACAATTTTTTTTTTCCTCAAAAAATTTGGGGCGCTACGCAAGTGAACGTATATATACGTTTGGACCATTTAAGGGTTAAGGACCCAACCATCAAGATAAAACAAACTAAAAGAAACACATTGCACTCTCCATTGTTACTACATGACTATATTGCACTTTGCATTGTTGCTACATGAAGGTATTAGACTGCAGTGTTTTACATTATGTAATCTAAAAGAACAATTATAGTTTCTTGGAAGAAATCACAATAAAATGTATGATTGCAAAATATGAAAAAAGTATCACAGTGAAAATAGGAAATAAAACCTGAACACTCATGTGCTTACACATACATCTTCAGACGAAGATGTGCTCACCTAGTTGTGGTTGCAGGGGTCGAGTCATAGCTCCTGGCCCTGCCTCTTCACTGGTCGCTACTGGGTCACTCTTCCTGCTCGGAGCTTTATCATACCTCTTCTTAAATTATTATTATTATAATAAAAGAGAAGACCCCTTAAAGCTATGTATGGATCCTGCCTTTACTGCATCACTAATGTGTGTGTATGCACGTGAAATCGCTCAGGTTTTATTTCGTATGTTCACTGTAGCATTTTTTCTTAAGTTTCACGTTCAGCAATAGAGTATTGTGTTTCAGTACGAGACATTGCTGGTAATAAAGGCAAACTCAACAATACCCTAAAACAGTTTTGTTTTTAAATATTGACTTTATCGTTTTCCTTGCATAAGTAGTTTTAGGGCATTGTTTACAAAAGTTGCAATGTTTACACATACTCTGTCCAGAGTTTCATTTATTACTCTGTCACGAAACACAAAATGTGAATCATAAGTTTATTAGAACTGTGCCAAATTTTATTTACCATTGTTAAAAAATGTATACATATATTTATATATGTAGTGTGTAGTGCAGTATGATTAAGAGAGAAAAAAGTGGTCATTGTAACCAAGCTGCTACATTGTAATATGTATTGATGCTGTACCAGTTTTAGTGCTGTTTTCTGCTTGTTAATGTATATAATAAAATGAGAAGCCTGTTTGCTATGTTAAGTATAATAGCTCTTTCTTCAACAGGGTAGCTACATATATTTGTTTATTTCAATTACAGTATATATGAAGTGTAATACGTATGTTGATAAATACAGGTACAAATCAGTCAAGATTTCTTATAATTTTATTCCATACAGTGTTAAAGAATAAAGCTAGATTACCAAAGTATTCTATAATAATTAATCATAAACTTGTGAGTCTCTTTTGAATAATGAGTATGATGTTTTTCACTGGTGGTAATTACAGTATTTACAATGCAGGGTTCTGCGAGGAGCATTGCTCTATCAATAAAGCACCTGTTACTTAATGATGAACTTTAAAGTGCCGATGAACTGAGGAAACTTATGGAGACAGAAAGTGTAAAAAAAATCTGTATTGATCTCTGTCTCATTGCTGATAAAGAGCTGAAGTTGATCGAAATATAGTTTCTTTCACACCTGTCTAGGATTTTTTTCTACACCTGATAGGGTTGATAAATAAGACACCTGTTCAACACTTGGATATCTTAGTGTTAAATGAGCGTCTTATTATCAACTTGTCAGTTTTCTAAACCGTTTATTCCAGCCTAATTGACGCTAATCTTTAGGTAGCGTTGAGAATAGGCTGGACAAATATGTGGTCGACGAGGGTTGGATTTGAGAAAGGCCTGCCAGGTGTGGGCCAGTAGGGCTGCTGTAGTGTTCTTTCATCCTTATGTTCTGTCTCATGTGGGTTTTCTCAGTTCACTTATTAAGTTTATTGTCTTTTCTCTTATTACCTCCTTGTACTGTACCCACAAAAGTAGAAGTATATTCATAATTTTCAGTATTCTTTAATTTATACTGTACATAATTTTGAAATTTACTGTAGTGCACACCACTTCCTTTTTAACCCGTAAACGGTCCAAGCAGATCTACGTTCACATGTGTAGTGCTACAAAAGTAGATTTACGTTTTCTTTACATATTTTCAAATATAACAAAAAAAAGGATCAAAGGTTTTTTGAAATTCAATGTGAAAAAGCAAAGAAGTACTCTTATTTTTTACCTAGTCTTTCATGGGGTTTAGACATAAAGTTACAGTGCTCCTACCTCCGTACTGTAACGAAATAGTATTTCAATTCAGAATTCTGTTATTGGTGACGTAATAATGAATTTTGTTGCCCATTCAACGTAATATGTGCAAGCAGATTACGTCCTTTGTAGGCCCTAAAAAGTAGATCTACCTTACAATAAATCATTACAAAAAAAACTTACAAAGTTGTTTGACATTTTGGTAGACTGATCTCGTTTAATCTCAAATGGTCGAAAACGTATATACGTTTGGACCGTTTACAGGTTAAGTATGTTGCGGACTACTCTCTAAAGAATTTTTTTAACACAATGGCCGCCTCCCACCGAGGCTGTGTGACTTGAAAAAGAAGCAAAGGTTTTCTTCTTTTTACATTTAATAATTTATACAAAAAAGGTTACTAGCCCTGTGCCCCTGGCATTTTAGTTGCCTCTTACGACACACGTGGCTTACGGAGGAAGGAGTCTTCTCTACTTCCTCGTGGAGTCTATAAAGAAATACATCTACCATCTGACTTACGACCTGCTCGACTTATGACCACTCGACTTACGACCGTGTTTTTTATGCCAAATTTCTGGGAAATAAACAACTATTTGTGTTGTACACAGTGTATAAAGTATAAAATACAGTACTAACAACATAAAAAGTAAAGTAAAACATGAAATACCAAAATAAAACAATAAAATAAAGTCATTACAAAAATGTTTTATTGATATTCAGTAGTAAAGTTCAACTTACGACCATTTCGACTTACGACCGGTTTCTCGGAACCGAACTCGGTCGTAAGTCGGACGGTAGGTGTATACATTATTATTAGTGGCATTTTTGTGAAGCATTTAAACACTTGTGAGTCATTCAGCACAAGGAGTGGCGGAGGCTCTAAGTCTTCCTCTGATCACTGCCTGGTCTCTCATTACTGAGGCTGCTTTTGATAATACATTTTAATGTGAAGATAAATGGTTCAGAGAACCAACAGGTTGATAAATTAGATACATATGCAACACTTGGATATCTTTGTGGCGAAACATTTCTACAGTAAAGATACCCAAGTGTTGCACGTGTGTCTAATTTATCGATACTTTTTTAATGTATTATTTTACACATCATTTTCTTAAATTTATGTTTGGACTGTAGTTTATTTCCTCTGTTGGTTGTTTGAAACCTGCTTCCATATCTGAATTTTTTTTTATTCCTTCAGGAATTTGTAAGTTGTTTTCATGTCTTCTGCTTTTCCTTCAAGAGGACTGCCATGAGGCTGGTGAAGGGTTCTTGGTCCAAGGAATTAAAGCTTTTGCTGCTTCCTGGGATTAAACCTGATTATCCCCTTTTCAATCCATTCCCAGGCACTGCATGACTTACAGATTTAGAGCTTGCCATGAATACAATAATAATTCTCTGTTTCTCCTATCTCCAAATGTCAGGACTTCCACTTCCTGCCCTTGTTATCATTTTAGTTAATACAGTATTTGACATTAATGTCTGAAGATTCTTGCAGTCTTACTGGGACTTTTAAGGTTTGTGACCAGAGCTGTGCACTACCACTTTCTAGATCTTCACCAGTCGAAAGGTCCCATTCTCGATGCAAGGAAATAGACCAGTCTTCCCTTCCTTGGATTGAACAAGATTGCTTCCCTTTCTCCCAAGCACTGTATGACCCCTTTGGGTTTAGTGTTTTTCCCTAATAATAATAATACATAATACTCAGGTATATGTGGGCATGTTAGACTGGAGTAAACAGAGGCAAGTACTCCATGGGATTTGACAAATCCAAGGTTAGGTAAGGTTCGTCAGGAAACAGGACAAGTGTTTCCTGATACGGGTCTCAGTCAGATGATGACCCGCCGTTGGAGCTTTTGGTCATCTGACCGAGACCTTCCGCTGGCTTACTGGTCCACCCCTTTAAAAATTATGGTTAGTTATCACCATTATTGGATTTGACAAATCCTATGTAAACACGGCAATATATATGGACAAAATGCATAAGCTGGGATTTAGATGCTTTAGAGCAGTGGTACTCAAATTTCTCATACAAGTGTGCCATATTTGATGGTCAAATGTGTGTTGACATTGTACCATGTGGAACCTACATAAAAGTAAATTCATAATTTCATGTTAGGGGTGCATCCATTTCCTAGAAGAGCCACATGTGGCCCGTGGACTAGTTTGGTGACCCATGCTTTAGAGAACAGAAAAGTTAATTCTTAGACTGTACTGGTATACTGATATGGTCTTGGATTTGTACTGTAATGTTTCTTTCCAATTATTCCTTGGAATTTTCCACTTAGATTTTCACATTGGGCTAAACAGGATGGATTTTAAGACTGGAATGTCTTCGGCAATGATATATTTGAAGTTAGGGTGCTAGATTGTATAGTGCATTTTTTCAGCATAAAGGTTGTCTCCCACAGAGGCAGGGTTACCCGAGAAAGAAGAAACGAAGTTTTTTCTTTTAACATTTAGCAATTCATACAGGAGAAGAGGTTATTAGCCCTTTGCTCCTGGCATTTTTAATGCTTCTTACTACATGCATGGCTTGTCTAGGAAAGATTCTTCTCTTCCTCATGGAGATGTTTAGTATATATATGTACACTATAAAAGGGACTTCAGGAAAACTAACTTGCTGGTAATAATTTTTATTACTATTATTATTATTATTATTATTATTATAATATTAATAATAATAATAATAATAATAATAATATTTAAAACTCAACAATAAGCACCAGGACAATTGTAAATCTGTACAGTAACAAATATATTTTTTACATTAAAACATATTTTTACATCACGTAACATACTCTAAATGTACACTAGATTACAAGAATTTCACTGTCATTAAGAATAAATATGACAAGTTACTGTAAATCTTTTCACATTCCTAAATGTGAGATATATTAACAAAAAAAAAACTTTAACCAGTGAACAAATATGATAAATATAAATTAAAATTTTATGTTAAAAAAGTATTATCAGTACATGCATTCTGTACTACCATTATGTGAGTGTTTTAATTAAATATCAGATGACATAATAATAATGAATAATGTGATGGACTTTTTCAGGTTACTGAATACAGTGGAACCTCGGTACTCGAACAGCTCCATACTCAAACAATTTGGCATTTGAACACTTTGTTGAGTAAACAAATCACTCGGTAGTCGACTGTTTGCTCGGAACTTAACCGAACAAATGTGACCTGCCAGAACTTCGCTGCAAACTATTTCGCATATTTTGGTGTTTCTTTAATATTATTTGTATAAATAAGTCATTATGGGGCCTAAGAGGGCTAGTGATAACAGTCAACCAAAAAGACAATTGGTTGGGAAAAATTTGTTCTGTACTCAAACAGATCGGCACTCAAATAGCCTTCTGAAACCAATTAAGTTCGAGTGCCGAGGTTCCACTGTAATAGAAATTTGCTTCACATTTGACAGACGTACAGTAATAATTTAATTAATGTAATGTGACCCTGATGACCTGCCTTGCACATATACAAAACTGGGTATAAAGATATGTAATGCAGAGAACGCCTTTATTGTCATTGGCACTTAGCTTAAGATAGAGCTTCATCAAGTCTCCATCACATGACTTGATAAAACTCAGTCATGAGCAAAAAGTCATCTAAAATGCAACCTTGCTCCATATTGCATGTCTTTATACCCACTTGTCAGTTTGTTGTCACAATCACCATGAAAAGACTGATAAAGACTAAATGAATTATGTTGAGGTTCCCACATATGATGTGTCAAGAGCCCCAATGGAAAGCCACTTTGTCTGACTTTCTTGGTTATCCTAGGTACTCTACACATGTGCTGCTATGTATGATTAAGTAAGTAAGTAAGTAAGTTTATTCAGGTATACACAAATACAGTTACATAGAATTATCATACATAGCAGCATATGTGTAGAGAACCTAGGATAACCCAAAAAAGTCAGACAGAGTGACTTATTTGATATTTTATTTGATAATTTATGCAACTGTATTTGTGTGTACCTATACCTGAATAATCTTACTTACAGGGCTGAGATTAGCAGGTTGAGTTAAGAGTATCACACTCACTGGCTCCACACACATTAGCTCAACTCTAACCCCAGTTGACATGGATGTCAATACACCTCATTACTCTACTGTCATCAGTGGTAGGTAAATGTTCAAATTTATTTCAAACCTGCATCTGAACATCTATTTGAATACCCTTCAAGGTGAATACAGTGGCACCTCGGGATACGAAAAGCTCAAAACATGAACCATTATGTTAAGTGTATTTATGTAAGTGTATTTTTGGGGGTCTGAAACGGATTAATCTAATTTACATTATTCCTCATGGGAACGAATTCTGGAATGAATTAAGTTCGTATCCCAAGGTACCGCTGTACTTTAATGCTGATGAAGAGATCTTGAACTGAAGAATTTCAGATACACTTCACTTATTTGTATCAAACCTATGTACAATTCACCAGGCCCTGTATGGGTTTAGCTCTTCTCAATGAATTTAAATTAATAATACTGCGCTTGAATAGTGCTGTGTGTCCCATATGGTTTAGTAAGTTTTGGAGAATAGAAACAAAAAATATTGCTTTTAATAAATTGACTCTAAAAACATCATGCTTGAATATGAAAATAGTAACTGTTGTGGTACTAAGTAAAATATTTTACAGTAATAAAATGGAAAATCATGGGAGGAGGGCCAAAGCCATAGGGGTCATACAGCATCTTAGGTAATGGAAAAATCAAATTTGATCCAAGGAATGGAAGGATTACTCAAGATTATTTGGATCAAGAACCCTTCACTGGCATCAAGTCATCTCCCTTTATAGAATAAAAAAAAAAAAAGTCACATGATAAATACTTAACCTCATTTGTAAACTGGTCACTTAAGAGTGGATTTTTCTAATCAAAATTAAATACTTTCACATTATGTATCCACCCTGAAGTATATAACATGTGAGGCATTATAACACTACCTTTGTGGTATACTCTTCATCACATCAATAAATATCTTTTGCAAGTAACCCACAATTCAGAGTGGGAATGTTTGTGTCTGTCCTGGGCCATCAAGTTGCAAGTGGTTCAGCACAGACTGGAATATTGTCTAAGGTTTCCACCAAATTGTAACTTAATCTTTAATAAATAATGTCAGAGTGCAGTTAGAAAATAATGTGAAAAATGTCATACTAGATTTTCCAAGTCTGCCAGAGAAAGATTATTTTAAAGATATCTATTGTAAAGTTTGTTCTATTTTTTTTAAGTACAGTAGGGAAGAGCTGTACTGTATATTGCTATAAAGTTACTTTCATAGTACATTTTTTTACAGGCACCAAAGTTCCCGAAGCACATTACCAATTGGCCTACATGTGTGACACAAAGGTTCCCCCCCCCCCCAAAAAAAAATAGACATACTAATTATGAAAAACAGTATCAAACTACAATGTAATTTAAGATTAACCGAGATGATTGATGACACGAAACGCAACGGTCTGGAGTTTTGAGACTCTCTGATCGCAGGTTCTATCCCCGCCCATGGTATGGTATGTTTGCAATCATGTCATTACGATTTCATGAGTCTATATATAATACTGTACACCCTTCATGGGATGTATAATATACTAGATCAAAAAATTACCTTCCATTCTTCAGGTGTCATATGACCCCTTACAGGTGAAGTGCTTCCCCTTGATAATAATCCCTTAAAAAGGGACTTAAGGTAAACTCTTAGCATGTATGCACTGCGAGATTCACACCTCTCGATATATTATACCCTAGAGCTGAAGTGATATATCACAGCCATATACAGAGTTGTAGGTGTCTTGTAGCAGAGATGTGATAAGTTGTTGTAGATAACACCAGGTGTATGTATTTCTACCCCAAGACTTTATACGATGCTTAAATAATAATCTCTGAAAAATTATTAATTGATACTTATATATCGCTCTTTACTGAATTTTGCAGCGTTGTATGATAGATGTTGGTTTAGCATTTCCATATGAATATAATATTACGACTGTCTCTTGAAACATCGGGGATTTGACTTCAGTAACCTACATAACTGTATTATGCAATCTGAGGTTTCTTGATGCTGGTGAGGGGCTCTTGATCCAAGCCCCTCAAGGAAGGTTCCTTGATGTTGGTGAGGGGTTCTTGATCCAAGCCCCTCAAGGAAAGTTCCTTGATGTTGGTGAGGGCTCTTGATCCAAGCCCCTCAAGGAAGGTTCCTTGATTTTGGTGAGGGGCTCTTAATCCAAGCCCCTCAAGGAAAGTTCCTTGATGTTGGTGAGGGCTCTTGATCCAAGGCCCTCAAGGAAGGTTCCTTGATGTTGGTGAGGGGCTCTTAATCCAAGTCCCTCAAGGAAGGTTCCTTGATGTTGATGAGGGGATCTTGATCCAAGCCTCTCAAGGAAGGTTCCTTGATGTTGGTGAGGGACTCTTGATCCAAGCCCCTCAAGGAAGGTTCCTTGATGTTGGTGAGGGGCTCTTGATCCAAGCCCCTCAAGGAAGGTTCCTTGATGTTGATGAGGGGCTCTTGATCCAAGGCCCTCAAGGAAAGTTCCTTTATGTTGGTGAGGGCTCTTGATCCAAGCCCCTCAAGGAAGGTTCCTTGATGTTGGTGAGGGACTCTTGATCCAAGCCCCTCAAGGAAAGTTCTTTTATGTTGGTGAAGGCTCTTGATCCAAGCCCCTCAAAGAAGGTTCCTTGATGTTGATGAGGGGCTCTTGATCCAAGCCCCTCAAGGAAGGTTCCTTGATATTGGTGAGGGCTCTTGATCCAAGCCCCTCAAAGAAGGTTCCTTGATGTTGGTGAGGGGCTCTTAATCCAAGTCCCTCAAAGAAGGTTCCTTGATGTTGATGAGGGGCTCTTGATCCAAGCCCCTCAAAGAAGGTTCCTTGATGTTGATGATGGGCTCTTGATCCAAGCTCCTCAAAGAAGGTTCCTTGATGTTGATGAGGGACTCTTGATCCAAGTCCCTCAAGGAAGATTCCTTGATGTTGGTGAGGGCTCTTGATCCAAGCCCCTCAAGGAAGGTTCCTTGATGTTGGTGAGGGACTCTTGATCCAAGTCCCTCAAGGAAGGTTCCTTGATGTTGGTGAGGGGCTCTTAATCCAAGCCCCTCAAGGAAGGTTCCTTGATGTTGGTGAGGGACTCTTGATCCAAGCCCCTCAAAGGTTCCTTGATGTTGGTGAGGGGCTCTTAATCCAAGCCCCTCAAGGAAGATTCCTTGATGTTGGTGAGGGGCTATTGATCCAAGCTCCTCAAGGAAGGGTCCTTGATGTTGGTGAGGGCTCTTAATCCAAGCCCCTCAAGGAAGGTTCCTTGATGTTGGTGAGGGGCTCTTAATCCAAGCTCCTCAAGGAAGGTTCCTTGATGTTGGTGAGGGGCTCTTAATCCAAGCCCCTCAAGGAAGGTTCCTTGATGTTGGTGAGGGGCTCTTAATCCAAGCCCCTCAAGGAAGGTTCCTTGATGTTGGTGAGGGGCTCTTAATCCAAGCCCCTCAAAGAAGGTTCCTTGATGTTGATGAGGGGCTCTTGATCCAAGCTCCTCAAAGAAGGTTCCTTGATGTTGATGAGGGACTCTTGATCCAAGTCCCTCAAGGAAGATTCCTTGATGTTGGTGAGGGCTCTTGATCCAAGCCCCTCAAGGAAGGTTCCTTGATGTTGGTGAGGGACTCTTGATCCAAGACCCTCAAGGAAGGTTCCTTGATGTTGGTGAGGGGCTCTTAATCCAAGCCCCTCAAGGAAGGTTCCTTGATGTTGGTGAGGGACTCTTGATCCAAGCCCCTCAAAGGTTCCTTGATGTTGGTGAGGGGCTCTTAATCCAAGCCCCTCAAGGAAGATTCCTTGATGTTGGTGAGGGGCTATTGATCCAAGCTCCTCAAGGAAGGTTCCTTGATGTTGGTGAGGGCTCTTAATCCAAGCCCCTCAAGGAAGGTTCCTTGATGTTGGTGAGGGGCTCTTAATCCAAGCTCCTCAAGGAAGGTTCCTTGATGTTGGTGAGGGGCTCTTAATCCAAGCCCCTCAAGGAAGGTTCCTTGATGTTGGTGAGGGGCTCTTAATCCAAGCCCCTCAAGGAAGGTTCCTTGATGTTGGTGAGGGGCTCTTAATCCAAGCTCCTCAAGGAAGGTTCCTTGATGTTGGTGAGGGGCTCTTAATCCAAGCTCCTCAAGGAAGGTTCCTTGATGTTGGTGAGGGGCTCTTAATCCAAGCCCCTCAAGGAAGGTTCCTTGATGTTGGTGAGGGGCTCTTAATCCAAGCTCCTCAAGGAAGGTTCCTTGATGTTGGTGAGGGGCTCTTAATCCAAGCCCCTCAAGGAAGGTTCCTTGATGTTGGTGAGGGGCTCTTAATCCAAGCTCCTCAAGGAAGGTTCCTTGATGTTGGTGAGGGGCTCTTAATCCAAGCTCCTCAAGGAAGGTTCCTTGATGTGGTGAGGGGCTCTTAATCCAAACCCCTCAAGGAAGTTCCTTGATGTTGGTGAGGGGCTCTTAATCCAAGCTCCTCAAGGAAGGTTCCTTGATGTTGGTGAGGGGCTCTTTAATCCAAGCCCCTCAAGGAAGGTTCCTTGATGTTGGTGAGGGGCTCTTAATCCAAGCCCCTCAAGGAAGGTTCCTTGATGTTGGTGAGGGGCTCTTAATCCAAGCCCCTCAAGGAAGGTTCCTTGATGTTGGTGAGGGGCTCTTAATCCAAGCCCCTCAAGGAAGGTTCCTTGATGTTGGTGAGGGGCTCTTAATTCAAGCTCCTCAAGGAAGGTTCCTTGATGTTGGTGAGGGGCTCTTAATCCAAGCTCCTCAAGGAAGGTTCCTTGATGTTGGTGAGGGGCTCTTAATCCAAGCCCTCAAGGAAGGTTCCTTGATGTTGTGAGGGGCTCTTAATTCAAGCCCCTCAAGGAAGGTTCCTTGATGTTGGTGAGGGGCTCTTAATCCAAGCTCCTCAAGGAAGGTTCCTTGATGTTGGTGAGGGGCTCTTAATCCAAGCCCCTTAAGGAAGGTTCCTTGATGTTGGTGAGGGCTCTTAATTCAAGCCCCTCAAGGAAGGTTCCTTGACACTGGACAGGTACCTAAAGTCAGTACCTGACCAATCGGGCTGTGGTTCGTACGTCAGCTTGCGTGCAGCCAGCAGTAACAGCCTGGCTGATCAGACCCTGATCCACCATGAGGACTGGTCTCAGACCAGGCTGCGGGGGCGTTGACCCCGGAAACCCTCTCCAGGTAAACTCCAGGGGCTCTTGATCCAAGCCCCTCAAGAAAGTTTCCTTGACACTGGTTAGGGGCTCTTGATTCAAGTCCCTCATGGAAAGTTCCTTGATGCCGGTGAGGGGCTCTTGATCTAGGGAATTGGATCTGTGCTCCAGTTCCCTGAATTAAGCCTGAATACCTTCCACATCCCCCTACAGTCGCTGCATAATGCTACGGGTTTAGTGCTTCCCCTTAATTATAATAATAATCTTGATCGAAGGAACTGGACTTCCTTCCCTGGGATCAAACAGGAGTGTTTTCCATTCCCCAAACATGGTATGACCTACACTGATTAGTGTTTTTCAAAGCTAATCAACTGCATGACGTCACTAAGGTTGAATACAACTTGTTAACTACCAGTCAAGATTTTAATACCTAAAATAGGTATTCATTATTATTGTGTATATACAGTGCAAAACATCATCTCTTAATGTATACAGTGCGAAACATCATCTCTTAATGTAGTACGTATATTCTGACCCCTATTTAACTCTTTCCCCTAAATATAATTAATAAAGTACTATATCAGTTAGGCCTGTATACCTTGTACATGTAGAAATAAAGATACTATTATTATTATTATTATTATTATTATTATTATTATTATTATTATTATTATTATCTTGTAATGGAGTATCTTGCATTCTACAAAAACTTTGGAAAATTACATGTATGTATTTGTATTGCTGTTTATACTGCTAAACAATGCTCATTCATACGTATATACATACATATGTATATACATACATACGTATATACGTACATATCTGTATATAAATGGGCATTCTACATGCACACCTAAATGTCACTCATCTCTGTATAAACATTGTATCATGTGGAAATAACATTATACAAACATACGTATATACATACATGCATATATACATACAAGCGCATTATGACTTGCGGGTTGAGCGCTTAATTATAATAATATATCGAAGGAACCGTGACACTGTCACTCACCAACCTCTGTCTCCCAACGTTCACGGTTGTCTCTGAAGTCTTCAAAACACTGATATATATACACGTACTGATCCTGAAATGTTAACACTACTATTAGTTTCTGTTTGACTCTTGTAGGTTGAGTGCTTCATTTTTTTTATTATAATAATACTGTTAGTTTCTATGGCAAATTTTGAAGTGACCATTTATTTTTGAGGTTCCTGCAAGGTAGAATGATGCTAGATGTACTGACTAGTGTCAATGTAAGTCTCAAGTACTTCTCATAATGTAATATTGTCAGTACTGAGTGGTCACATCCTGGGGACAAAATTAACCTACTTTGCAGGAAATGCTCAGCATAACAAGGGACTTTCTATACAGTAGTATGTCATTGGTGTCAGCTATGGTCTGTATAAGTTGTATCATGTACTTGTAAAGATAGAGATATTATTATTAAGAATGTTAATATTGGACTAACCACTGTCTGTACCATGCTCATGCGACCTTCACGTATACTTTCCACAGTCCTGACAATGTTAGCCATGCGGCTGGTCGTGTACTCGTCTATCATGTGCCACAGTGCTATCAACGTCCCACTTCTGCCACAACCAGCTCTGTTGGAAGCAAGATCTCTTCAGTAAACCTGTGCATGTGCAATATTCCTAGGTGTAAATTATCCATGACTTGTGCAATGTACTGATAGAAAATGTGAAGTTAAAATGGTATGATTATTCACTTTTTTGGGTTATCCTGGTGGGCTATTTACACTATGTATGATAACTTGACTCATGTGTACCTGTGTCTAAACAGGCACATGTACACGTAAGTATAATTATCATACATAGTATAAATTACCTAAGATGACCCAAAAAAGTCAGACACACTGACTTATTTCCATTGGGGTCTTTGGTCGTACGTAAAAAACTAAAAATCCATTCCTTCCACTGAGGTAAACTCTTCAGGCTGAGGGACTGACCACCTTAAGTACTCTTTCTCCAAGGTTGATGGACTGATTATATCATCTTTTTATTTCATTACTACTACTGCTGCCTTTGTATTTGACAAGAAGACTACTGTATAGGTGAAATGTTCCATCAATAAATATACCCAACTGTTGCTATTATGTCTTCTCGCCGCCATTATCAATATCTCCACACTATGACCCTGGTTGGTTTAGGGTTTAGTTATGATTGTAATAACTCATTACACTTCTTCCTCACTTGTTATAACAACAGACTCCCACTTCAGCCACTTGTCTAAAACATTACTGACAAATCATTATTTCCCCATATCCTATATAAATCTAGATTTCTCCAACTTGAATCCATTTCTGCGAGTCCTATGTTAGTTACGTATTTCCAGCACATTATTTATATTCCCTTTATTTATGCCTGTTTTCCACAGGTCCTGATCCACTCTGAGGCCTCGGGGGCATTGACCCCTGAAATCCTCTCCAGGTATACAACGACCCCAATAGAAATATCACTTAGACTTTTTATGAATTATCGTACTTAACTTACACATATGTTAAAACTAAATATGATAATTGTACTTGGTGTTTACTACCCAATCCATGTTTCGAACCCCACACGACACATGGACTCGTTCCTATACATTTTCCAGACCTCTTGCTCAGTTCTGGAGACCAGAACTGAGCAGCATAACGTAAATGAGGCCTAGCCAAAGAAGCATAATCTAAATGAGGCCTATCCCAAGAAGCATAATCTAAATGAGGCCTAGCCTAAGAAGCATAATCTAAATGAGGCCTAGCCTAAGAAGCATAATCTAAATGAGGCCTAGCCAAAGAAGCATAATCTAAATGGGGCCCTAGCCTAAGAAGCATAATCAAAAATGAGGCCTATCCCAAGAAGCATAATCTAAATGAGGCCTAGCCTAAGAAGCATAATCTAAATGAGGCCTAGCCAAAGAAGCATAATCTAAATGAGGCCTATCCCAAGAAGCATAATCTAAATGAGGCCTAGCCTAAGAAGCATAATCTAAATGAGGCCTAGCCTAAGAACCCATAATCAAATGAGGCCTAGCCAAAGAAGCATAATCTAAAGGAGGCCTAGCCTAAGAAGCATAATCTAAATGAGGCCTAGCCTAAGAAGCATAATCTACATGAGGCCTAGCCTAAGAAGCATAATCTAAATGAGGCCTAGCCTAAGAAGCATAATCTAAATGAGGCCTAGCCTAAGAAGCATAATATAAACGAGGCCTAGCCAAAGAAGCATAATCTAAAGGAGGCCTAGCCTAAGAAGCATAATCTAAATGAGGCCTAGCCTAAGAAGCATAATCTAAATGAGGCCTAGCCTAAGAAGCATAATCTAAATGAGGCCTAGCCTAAGAAGCATAATCTAAATGAGGCCTAGCCTAAGAAGCATAATATAAATGAGGCCTAGCCTAAGAAGCATAATATAAATGGGGGCCTAGCCTAAGAACATAATAAAATGAGGTCTAGCCTAAGAAGCATAATCTAAATGAGGCCTAGCCTAAGAAGCATAATATAAATGGGGCCCCTACCTAAGAAGCATAATATAAATGAGGCCTACCCAAGAAGCATAATATAAATGAGGCCTAGCCAAAGGGAAGCATAATAAAATGAGGCCTAGCCTAAGAAGCAAAAATATAAATGAGGCCTAGCCTAAAAGCATAATATAAATGAGGCCTAGCCTAAGAAGCAATAATAAAAAATGAGGCCTAGCCTAAGAAGCATAATATAAATGAGCCTAGTCCAAGAAGCATAATATAAATGAGGCCTAGCCAAGAAGCATAATATAAATGAGGCCTAGCCTAAGAAGCATAATATAAATGAGGCCTAGCCTAAGAAGCATAATAATAAATGAGGCCTAGCCTAAGAAGCATAATATAAAATGAGGCCTAGCCTAAGAAGCATAATATAAATGAGGCCTAGCCTAAGAAGCATAATATAAATGAGGCCTAGCCTAAGAACATAATATAAATGAGGCCCTAGCCTAAAAAGCATAATATAAATGAGGCCTAGTCCAAGAAGCATAATATAAATGAGGCCTAGCCTAAGAAGCATAATATAAATGAGGCCTAGCCTAAGAAGCATAATATAAATGAGGCCTAGCCTAAGAAGCATAATATAAATGAGGCCTAGCCTAAGAAGCATAATATAAATGAGGCCTAGCCTAAGAAGCATAATATAAATGAGGCCTAGCCCAAGAAGCATAATCTATATAATGCAAAACCAACGTAGCATAAACTAAATAAGGCTTAACCAAAGAAGTATATAGAGTGTAGAAAGCAAGTGTATAAAGAGTAGTAACCAACCCGCAGTGTACAAGTACTGGTCTTGTAGGGTGTGCCTTGGCAATGCTTCTAGCTTCCATGATCAACCTGAGAATGTCATCATGCTTGGGCACTGACCTCTCCGGCCAGTTGGTCATATGAAAATGGTGGATTACCTTCACTTGGTTATCCTGCAAAGAGGAAACGTTAAATTCTAACTAGTAATTTTGTTCTTAATGTTTTGGTAAATTTTTCTCCCATATCCCAGGCGCTGTGTGACCTTACGGGTCTAGAGCATCATCATGAATACAATGATAATAAGGATTGTATAAACTTGGCCTTCCAGACTGAGTGGCTTTAGTAAGGTTAATAAAGAATTAGACGCATGTGTAACATTGGATATCTTTGTAATGTTTCACCATCCAGTGACAGTACGAGGCCATAATGTGAAGACTGTACAACTATATACAAAAGACTGAACTTGAATGATGTGCTGGTACGTCCCGGGTCTCGTCCAGATGGTGATCCAGCGATACAGAAGATAAGGGACTGATTACCTCGTCTTTTGTGTATAGTTCTACAGTCTTCCCATTATGTCCTTGTATTGATAAAGCCACTGGATGGCGAAACGTCTACAAATAAAGATACCTATATGTTGCACACATGTCTAATTCTTCATATTATCGGTATTATATACTTCTCATGTACAAGGTGAGGAATGACTGACCTGAGATACTACCAGTGTCCTCTTCCTGAAGCTGCCGTTGTTGTGACTGTCAACAAGAGTAACACTGAGTTCATCATGACCCATCACCCAGGTGTTATCACCACGATCATCAATGTAACGTGCTACCTGTAACACTATATATGTTATGTAACACACACACGAACACACACTGGGTCCAGGAGCTGTGAATCGACTCCTGCAACCACATATACGTGAGTACATGTACACACAAGGGTCAAGAGCTGTGAATCGACTCCTGCAACCACATATACGTGAGTACATGTACAACACAAGGGTCAAGAGCTGTGAATCGACCCCTGCAATCACATACAGGTAAGTACACACACATGGGCCAGGAGCTATGAATCAACCCCTGCAACCACATATAGGTGAGTACACACACAAGGGCCAGGAGCTATGAATCGACCCCTGCAATCACATATAGGTAAGTACACACACACTGGGGCCAGGAGCTATGAATCAACCCCTGCAATCAAATACAGGTAAGTACACACACACTGGGGCCAGGAGCTATGAATCAACCCCTGCAATCACATATAGGTAAGTACACACACTGGGGCCAGGAGCTATGAATCAACCCCTGCAATCACATATAGGTAAGTACACACACACTGGGGCCAGGAGCTATGAATCAACCCCTGCAATCACATATAGGTAAGTACACACACTGGGGCCAGGAGCTATGAATCAACCCCTACAATCACATATAGGTAAGTACACACACACTGGGGCCAGGAGCTATGAATCAACCCCTGCAATCACATATAGGTAAGTACATACACACACTGGGGCCAGGAGCTATGAATCAACCCCTGCAATCACATATAGGTAAGTACACACACACACTGGGGGCCAGGAGCCATGAATCGACCCCTGCAATCACATATAGGTAGGTACACACACACGGGCCAGGAGCTATGAATCAACCCCTGCAATCACATATAGGTAAGTACACACACACTGGGGCCAGGAGCTATGAATCAACCCCTGCAATCACATATAGGTAAGTACACACACACACGGGGGGCCAGGAGCCATGAATCGACCCCTGCAATCACATATAGGTAAGTACACACACTGGGGCCAGGAGCTATGAATCAACCCCTGCAATCACATATAGGTAAGTACACACACACGGGGCCAGGAGCCATGAATCGACCCCTGCAATCACATATAGGTAAGTACACACACACTGGGGCCAGGAGCTATGAATCAACCCCTGCAATCACATATAGGTAAGTACACACACACACTGGGGCCAGGAGCCATGAATCGACCCCTGCAATCACATATAGGTAAGTACACACACACTGGGGCCAGGAGCTATGAATCAACCCCTGCAATCACATATAGGTAAGTACACACACACACTGGGGCCAGGAGCTATGAATCAACCCCTGCAATCACATATAGGTAAGTACACACACACTGGGGCCAGGAGCTATGAATCAACCCCTGCAATCACATATAGGTAAGTACACACACACACTGGGGGCCAGGAGCTATGAATCAACCCCTGCAATCACATATAGGTAAGTACACACACACACTGGGGCCAGGAGCTATGAATCAACCCCTGCAATCACATATAGGTAAGTACACACACACACTGGGGGCCAGGAGCCATGAATCGACCCCTGCAATCACATATAGGTAAGTACACACACACTGGGGCCAGGAGCTATGAATCAACCCCTGCAATCACATATAGGTAAGTACACACACACTGGGGCCAGGAGCTATGAATCAACCCCTGCAATCACATATAGTAAGTACAACACACACTGGGCCAGAGCTATGAATCAACCCCTGCAATCACATATAGGTAAGTACACACACACACTGGGGGCCAGGAGCCGTGAATCGACCCCTGCAATCACATATAGGTAAGTACACACACACTGGGGCCAGGAGCTATGAATCAACCCCTGCAATCACATATAGGTAAGTACACACACACTGGGGCCAGGAGCTATAAATCAACCCCTGCAATCACATATAGGTAAGTACACACACACTGGGGCCAGGAGCCATGAATCGACCCCTGCAACCACAATTAGGTGAGTACACACTTTCAATAATACACACACAGGAGATAATAACTCACAGCTTGCTTGGTGTTATCAACAGACAGTCTGATGATAACACAGACGTCACAGTCCCAGATCAGTTGCCAGAAGTCATCGTCCTGGTCAGGATATGGATCTTGGGTGGCTATAAACCTCTTTCCCTGAGTGATATACAACAAGCACTTTCATTATTCACAATATCTCTCACCTAACATATTATACTTGACATTTCTATTTTAAGATAACAATACTAGTAATAATACTCACCAGTATATAAGACGCGTTAATATATTCCACTTGACTGACCCTCACAAGCGTATCGTCAACTATAATGTACGAAGAAATGTAATGGTTTTAATTGTACAATAATACAATCGATTATTATACATGTATAATATTCAGAGTAACTAATGTTACACAGTGATTTTTTGTACTAGTGTTAGTATTCCTTTGTCTTGTGTTAATACTTGTATGACTCGTGTTAATACTTGTATGACTCGTGTTATTTTTATGAGTCGCGAAAATTTTTCCCTTTATTCATAAAAGCAAATTTAGTTGAACAGAAAAGTGAATCAGGATTATTTACCGTGGAGGCTTAGTAACCCAGGATGCCACCCACAAGTCTACTAACTCTCAGGCATCTACTTACTACTGAGGTAAAGAGGGGTTAGGAGATGATAGGAGACTTGCCCACACGTCCCTCCTTCCCCAGGGTTTGACCCGTCCCTTCCAGTTACTAGCAGAATGCACTACAGTAAGTTTAGTATTTACGTACTGGTACATGTCAGTACAATCATACACAGTGTAAATTTCCCAGGATAACCCAAAAAAGTCAAAGTAACTTATTCCCAGTGGGGTTTATAACACAGAAAAGACAACAACTCCAAGTTTCGTAACTTGAATTACAAGAGTGACGTGTACACATTAATGTATTTATTCGTACACACAGAGCACAATCTGACATGTACGTACTGTGGCCAGAGCCATGTAGGTGTGGCATTACCTGGAGTTTACCTGGAGAGGATTTCGGGCGTCAACGCCCCCGTGGCTCGGTCTGAGACCAGGCCTCACGGTGGATCAGGGTCTGATCAACCAGGCTGTTACTACTGGCCGCACGCAAGCTGACGTATGAACCACAGCCTGGTTGGTCAGGTACTGACTTTAGGTGCCTGTCCAGTGCCTTCTTGAAGACAGCCAGGGGTCTATTGGTAATCATGGATGGTCCGGCGACCATCGTGTGTTGTGTGGTAGTCTGACCTTACACTGGAAGGGTAGAGTGGATGGTTTAATTACCTCGTCTGGGTAATCGTTCAACTAGAGTCACCTCTCGTCATCGCACTACAGCATCTTTGGCTTTCTGACAGTGCATTCACTGCTGAGTATTCATTCTTCACCAGTGAAATTGGCTTGTGTTGGCATTCACTGTAAATTTTGTGTATAGTGTGCGTAGAATGTGGTGAGATAATATATTGAATTCCAAGTTATTACAGCGTCTCTTGACTTACTGATCGATATTGTGACTTATAAGCCAGTATAGCAGGCTTGCAACACAAGTATAGCAGGCTTGCAACACAAGTATAGCAGGCTTGCAACACAACTATAGCAGGTTTGCAATACAAGTATAGCAGGCTTGCAACACAAGTACTGTTCTTGCAACACAAGTATAGCAGGCTTGCAACACAAGTACTGCTGTTCTTGCAACACAAGTATAGCAGGCTTGCAACACAATTACAGCAGGCTTGCAACACAAGTACTGCTGTTCTTGCAACACAAGTATAGCAGGCTTGCAACACAATTACAGCAGGGTTGCAACACAAGTACTGCTGTTCTTGCAACACAAGTATAGCAGGCTTGCAACACAAGTACTGCTGTTCTTGCAACACAAGTATAGCAGGCTTGCAACACAATTACAGCAGGCTTGCAACACAAGTACTGCTGTTCTTGCAACAAGTATAGCAGGCTTGCAACACAATTACAGCAGGCTTGCAACACAATTACAGCAGGCTTGCAACACAAGTACAGCAGGCTTGCAACACACGTACAGCAGGCTTGCAACACAATTACATCAAGCTTGCAACACAAGTACAGCAAGCTTGCAACACAAGTATAGCAGGCTTGCAACACAAGTACAGCAGGCTTGCGACACAATTACAGCAAGCTTGCAACACAAGTACAGCAGGCTTGCAACACAAGTACAGCAGGCTTGCAACACAAGTACAGCAGGCTTGCAACACAAGTATAGCAGGCTTGCAACACAAGTATAGCAGGCTTGCAACACAAGTATAGCAGGCTTGCAACACAAGTACAGCAGGCTTGCAACACAAGTACAGCAGGCTTGCAACACAAGTATAGCAGGCTTGCAACACAAGTACAGCAGGCTTGCAACACAAGTATAGCAGGCTTGCAACACAAGTATAGCAGGCTTGCAACACAAGTACAGCAGGCTTGCAACACAAGTACTGCTGTTCTTGCAACACAAGTACTGCTGTTCTTGCAACACAAGTACAGCAGGCTTGCAACACAAATACTGCTGTTCTTGCAACACAAGTACTGCTGTTCTTGCAACACACGTACTGCTGTTCTTGCAACACAAGTACTGCTGTTCTTGCAACACAAGTACTGCTGTTCTTGCAACACAAGTACTGCTGTTCTTGCAACACAAGTACTGCTGTTCTTGCAACACAAGTACTGCTGTTCTTCCAAAGGATACAATAGGAGAGTTGCTCTCAAAGCCTATTAGGCTCACAGCCAAAATAATGACTCAATTCTGGTTAATGTTTACCACTCGCAAGCTTTCAAAATTTGAATCCGATCTGATGAAGCGTTCTGGAGTTACGAGAGAAATATAATCGAGAGTTTGGAAGAAGAAAAACAGTAATAAACGTTCACGTAACCACTTCAAGACTCCTTTTCTGGATACCTATTATCCCCAATGGAAATAAAAGGACCCCAATGGAAATAAGTCACTCTGTCTGACTTTTTTGGGTTATCCCAGGTTCTCTACACATATGCTGCTATGTATGATAATTCTATGTAACTATATTTGTGTATACCTGAATAAACTTACTTACTTACTTACTTCCTCCATCCTGACTGACACTAAGCGCCTCCTGTGTTGACATTCCGGAGCAACACTCGTCATACTGCTCGATTTTCTTGGGTTATCCTGGATCATTAGTCATCCGAAGTTAATAATCCTAAGTTGAGTTCAAATTCTTTATTATGCACCTCATACCCATGGTGTGGGCGGTAGTCAAATGGTTACAGAGGTACATAGTGGGTCCAGGGACTGTACCTCAACATTACAGAAGTACATAGTGGGTTCAGGGATTGTACCTCAACATTACAGAGGTACATAGTGGGTCCAGGGACTGTACCTCAACATTACAGAGGTACATAGTGGGTTCAGGGATTGTACCTCAACATTACAGAGGTACATAGTGGGTTCAGGGATTGTACCTCAACATTACAGAGGTACATAATGGGTCCAGGGACTGTACCTCAACATTACAGAGGTACATAATGGGTCCAGGGACTGTACCTCAACATTAGAGGTACATAATGGGTCCAGGGACTGTACCTCAACATTACAGAGGCACATAATGGGTCCAGGGATTGTACCTCATTACAGAGGTACATAATGGGTCCAGGGACTGTAACTCAACGTTACAGTGGTACATAATGAGTCCAGGGACTGTACCTCAACATTACAGAGGCACATAATGGGTCCAGGGACTGTACCTCAACATTACAGAGGTACATAATGGGTCCAGCGACTGTAACTCAACGTTACAGTGGTACATAATGGGTCCAGGGACTGTACCTCAATATTACAGAGGCACATAATGGGTCCAGGGACTGTACCTCAACATTACAGAGGCACATAATGGGTCCAGGAACTGTACCTCAGCATTACAGAGGCACATAATGGGTCCAGGGACTGTACCTCAACATTACAGAGGCACATAATGGGTCCAGGGATTGTACCTCAACATTACAGAGGCACATAATGGGTCCAGGGACTGTACCTCAACATTACAGAGGCACATAATGTGTCCAGGGACTGTACCTCAACATTACAGAGGCACATAATGGGTCCAGGGACTGTACCTCAACATTACAGAAGCACATAATGGGTCCAGGGACTGTACCTCAACATTACAGAAGCACATAATGGGTCCAGGGACTGTACCTCAACATTACAGAAGCACATAATGGGTCCAGGGACTGTACCTCAACATTACAGAGGCACATAATGGGTCCAGGGACTGTACCTCAACATTACAGAGGCACATAATGGGTCCAGGGACTGTACCTCAACATTACAGAGGCACATAATGGGTCCAGGGACTGTACCTCAACATTACAGAGGCACATAATGGGTCCAGGGACTGTACCTCAACATTACAGAGGCACATAGTGGGTCCAGGGACTGTACCTCAACATTACAGAGGCACATAATGGGTCCAGGGACTGTACCTCAACATTACAGAGGCACATAATGGGTCCAGGGACTGTACCTCAACATTACAGAGGCACATAATGGGTCCAGGGACTGTACCTCAACATTACAGAGGCACATAATGGGTCCAGGGACTGTACCTCAACATTACAGAGGCACATAATGGGTCCAGGGACTGTACCTCAACATTACAGAGGCACATAATGGGTCCAGGGACTGTACCTCAACATTACAGAGGCACATAATGGGTCCAGGGACTGTACCTCAACATTACAGAGGCACATAATGGGTCCAGGGACTGGATCCCAAAATTTTGATAGCTGAACAATTTACACTCCTACACTCCTCTGATATTACACTTAATACTATATTTTTGTGTGTATAAGTAACTCATTATGATAATAACCAGATGTATATACACAAATACGTAGTTCAGTACCACTGTAACTTGTTTAGTTATCAGAACCTTGCGGCCCAATCACTGGATTCATTGTGTTTACCTGGAGTTTACCTGGAGAGAGTTCCGGGGGTCAACGCCCCCGCGGCCCGGTCTGTGACCAGGCCTCCTGGTGGATCAGAGCCTGATCAACCAGGCTGTTGCTGCTGGCTGTACGCAAACCAACGTACGAGCCACAGCCCGGCTGATCAGGAACCGACTTTAGGTGCTTGTCCAGTGCCAGCTTGAAGACTGCCAGGGGTCTGTTGGTAATCCCCCTTATGTGTGCTGGGAGGCAGTTGAACAGTCTCGGGCCCCTGACACTTATTGTATGGTCTCTTAACGTGCTAGTGACACCCCTGCTTTTCATTGGGGGGATGTTGCATCGTCTGCCAAGTCTCTATAATCTTATGATTACCGCCCACACTATGGGTATAGGGTGTATAATAGATAATAAACCAGTGATCAAGGTTCCAGGAGCGAAACGTTTTCAATATAGATGTTGTGTGTGCAGACGTATCCATTTCCCCCCTCCATTTGTGGGCAGTGAGTGCCCATCTTACCAGAGACTTACATGGCAATATGTCAGCATATCTGTTCTTGTGAGCGTGATTCAAGGCGTTCTTTGTGGGTTTCTTGTATACCTGCTTCGCGAATTTGGCATAAAATTCGTTCCTCAACAATTCCTCCTGTAAAGAGCACCATTTACACAACTTGATTATCTCCTATTCCTCAGGCGCTGTAATAATAATAATAATAATAATAATAATAATAATAATAATAATAATAATAATAATAATAATAATAATAATAATAATAATCACTGATTTCAGCTTACTGGACAGCTTAATCTAGGACACACCAAGTAATCTAAATTACCCACAGTGGCAACTTACAGCATTGTATGTTAGGAGTGACGTCGTGTTTATATAGGGGAAACAGCCAAAGATTTAAATACCTCTTTATAGGGGTATAAACACACACGGAATGCATGTGTGGTACACTGGAACACACACACAGGCAGGAACCATAAATAGCTTTAAGACGAAGTATGACAAAGTTCGGGGAGCAGAGAGAGAGGACCTAGCAGCGATCCCTGAAGAGGCGGGGCCAGGAGATGAATTTCGACCCCTGCAACCACAATTAGGTGAGTAAACACACACACTGGACCTAGGAAATAGGTGAGTACACACACACACACATCTACTGTACTAGGAAAACGAGAAAGGGAGATGGTCTAGATCTAGAATCTATTTCCCCCCTCGTCCATTCTCTGGTTCACCTCGTCTCTCATGAGACACTCTTGCCGTCATTCACTTCATCCAGTCTGATATCCAATCTTTCACTGCCTAGATTTTCTCTTTTTTGCTAATCTCATCACTTTGCTCCTGTGTATTTAGTTTTATTGTCCTCCTTTTACACACCCTTTCAAACTCGTCCACCAAACTCTGTAACTTAAGGATCTAAGTCATCAGGAAAGAAGTAACTGTGACAACTTCCACTCTGTATAAGCTTCATTATCTTTTAATCTCATTTTTCTGCCCCAACACCCCAGCATTCACTTCTTTTACAACTCCATCTACATATATGCTAAATAATTATCTTGACATCAGTAGGAAATACAGAACAAGTCACATGGAGATGGAAATCTTCAGCTAGTTTTGCAACATTGGATAGCTCCTGACGACGCACGAGTGTGAAAGATCTAGAGCTGAAGATTTCCATCCCCATGTAGCTTGTTCTGTAATGTTAAGATAGGTTGTTTGTAACTGTATTTCACGGTCTTAATAAATAACAAACGATACAGCCAGTGAGAAGCATTAAAAAAAGAGAGAGAAGGCACATACCGTATTTTTCGGCATATAAGACGCGCCTTTTTCCCCACAGAAGTCTTGGGAAACACCCTGCGCCTTATATGCTCAAGGTCAGGGTCAAGATTAGGCTTTGGGTTATGCTTTTTAATATAAACAAAAATAATTAACCTTTGAATTTGATTACTGATTTACCGTTACGATACCTCTGTCGTGCGCCTTATATGCCAGAAGATACGGTAGCATTGCCACAACAGAGTTAAATTTCTAGAGAGTTCCTAACTTACGCTCTTCGAATGTGCTTCACCTCTCTGGTTGTGTCCACCGCTCTGTCTCCCTCGGATCTGAAACACAGACAGTGGGTCATCAGCAACTTCAGGTGCAAATGTCATGCTGAAGACAAAGGGAGAGAGGCGAAATGCGTTGAAGAACAAACTTTAAGACCGAGAGTGTTTCGCTCTATGTACAGGTTTATCATGTCATGTTTCGCTCTGAGGAGTTTCATGTGTTTTTCTTGCTCTGTGTAGCGATTTAATCATGTCATATTTTGTGTAGAGTTTTGTCATGTTATGTTTTGCTCTGTGTAGAGCTTCGTCGTGTCATGTTTTGCTCTGTATAGAGCTTCGTCATGTCATATTTTGCTCTGTATAGAGCTTTAGCAACTCTTGACGTGATAAAGCTCTATACAGAGCGATACTTCACATTCCTTCCACATATCATCTGTATTTAATATGTACACAATACAGTGTGACACAAAATTATTATGTTCAATGTTAGATAAGATAAGATTTCGTTCGGATTTTTAACCCCGGGGGTTAGCCACCCAGGATAACCCAAGAAAGTCAGTGCGTCATCGAGGACTGTCTAACTTATTTCCATTGGGGTCCTTAATCTTGTCCCCCAGGATGCGACCCACACCAGTCGACTAACACCCAGGTACCTATTTGCTGCTAGGTGAACAGGACAACAGGTGTAAGGAAACGTGTCGAAATGTTTCCACCCGCCGGGAATCGAACCCGGGCCCTCCGTGTGTGAAGCGGGAGATTTAGCCAATATTTTTACACCCTCAGAGCACCTTAACTGGAGATATTGGTGACAGAATTCTGTAAGTGCAGGCGCCCACTTGGAGAAGAAGAAATAATGAGAGGTCTGCATATTTCGACCTCTGAGCTCCTCTTCAGAAGACGGAGAGGGACTTTAAATATCGCCCACTCATCATTTTTTGTACATTGACGAAGATAATCACGAAAAGGAAAACCACAGATAGATAATCAGATTAAGATAAGCTAAATATAGGTAACAGGACATAGTAAGATATGAATAATCATCGGTCAACTACATGCAGTTAATAAGGCAGAGATAGGCAAGCTTACACCTATTATCCCCGTTCACCTAGCAAGCAAGTTGGTACCTGGGCGTTAGTGGACTGATGTGGGTGGCATCCTGGGGGACAAGATTTGAGAACCCCAATGGAAATAAGACAGACAGTCCCTCGATGGTGCGCTGACTTTCTTGGGATATCCTGGATAGTTAACCCTCCGTGGTTAAAAATCCGAACAAATATATATATATATATATATATATATATATATATATATATATATATATATATATATATATATATATATATATATTGCCAGAAATCCTTTGCAAACTAAGGACTTTCTACACGCACACACAGATGTCACTCATCTCTGTACAAACATTGCATTATGCTAATATAAAGATTATAATTATTATTATGACCAAGAAGTATTCACAACACAACAATACAAACGGAACACATAGTTTCGGTTCACCTTGGACCGTTATCAAATCGAGAAAGCAACAATTCACAAATATTTAATCAGATATAGGCACTACAAATCCTTCTTACCTCAATATCAGCACTATAAATTTGTGAAGGTTTGGGACGCCAGCAAAGGTAGATAATGATAGCAATGATAATGAGAACTGCAGGGATCCCAATGCTAAGACCAATTATCAAACCCTTTCCTGAAACAGTAAGTGTTATTATAGTATACGTAGTGGCCCATGCTAGGTGGGTCTTGCACATGTATGGTACACAATATCGACAAGGTGAAGAATTAGACACATGTGCAACATCTGGTATCTTTATTGTAGATGTTTCGCCCTCCAGTGGCTCTATCAATACAAAAGATGGGGTAATCATCAGTCCTTCAGTCTTGGAGTTGGTGGACACCACCGTAGTCATCAAGAATGCCTCACATTCTTCAGGACTACGATGTTATTCACCAAGGCTGAGGGACTGATTACCTTATCTGTTGCATATAGTTCAACTATCTTAAGATAATATAAGATTTCGTTCGGATTTTTAACCCCGGAGGGTTAGCCACCCAGGATAACCCAAGAAAGTCAGTGCGTCATCGAGGACTGTCTAACTTATTTCCATTGTGGTCCTTAATCTTGTCCCCCAGGATGCGACCCACACCAGTCGACTAACACCCAGGTACCTATTTGCTGCTAGGTGAACAGGACAACAGGTGTAAGGAAACGTGTCGAAATGTTTCCACCCGCCGGGAATCGAACCCGGGCCCTCCGTGTGTGAAGCGGAAGCTTTAGCCACCAGGCCAGGCCACCGGTGGCCTGGTGGCTACTGTACTGATAAAGCCACTGGATGGCGAAACGTCTATAATGAAGATACCCAGATATTGCACATGTCTAATTTTCATTTTGTCGGTGTTGTGTATCGTTCATGTATAACAAATATCGCAATACTGTTAATGTAATACTTCATGTAACAGCTCACTTAGAAGAGGAAATTGACAATTCGGTCAGTCTTGGACTAAAGTAGCAGAAACTGCGACCGAATCATTATCTCAATTTTCCCCTGCAAGTTATAGTATAATTCGTGTCCATTACCTGAAGTCTGTTTTTCTCCAGTCTGGCAGACAGGGACGCTGTTGCAGTTGTCGTAAACAGCGGTGACGCACACCTTGAGGTTCTCATCCAAGCTGACATTGTTAATGGTGTAGTGAGTGTCAGTAACGTTGATGCTACCAAGAAGTTGGTTATTCCTGTACCACGTCACCGTGAACACTACCACTAGTCCTGTCGGTGACCACGTCCAAGACACGTACACGTCGTCTCCAGACTCGCTCAAAACAAGATCTTCTGGTGCTGAATGTATATATGGGGAAAATCAGTAACAGTACAATGCACAAATAACCCACATATAGGATAGAGAGGAGCTAATTGCGACGTTTCGGACAGACATGGACCATCTACAAGTTACACAAGCTACTGTTAGTATAACTTGTAGATGGCCTAAGACGGAATGAAGCATCGTCATTACCTTGACTCTCTTCTATGTGCGGGTTATTCTTGTATTGTTCCAGTCACCGTATTGTGTACTTTTGTTCTTTTTTCTCACCAGCAGAATAAGTGATACTGAGAAACTTTTTTTTAATAGTAAGGACACCAGTCCTTGTAAGATGATTCACTACCTGTGACATACATACAGTTTAGTGCATCAACCAATTAGTTTCGCCATTCAAGGCGCCATGTATATCACAAGATCCTCTGGAATATACCTGGAGAGAGTTCCGGTGGTCAACGCCCCCACGGCCCGGTCTGTGACCAGGCCGTGGGGGCGTTGATATGGCCGGGGGGGAGGGGGGGTACCTGATAGGTACACCTATCAGGTACCTGGGTGTTAGTGGACTAGTGTGGGTCGCATCCTCAGCTCACACACTGAGGTCCGGGGTTCGAATGTCCTCCGGTACGACTGGAAAGCATTAGGGACGTGTTTCCATAAGACACCTGCTGTCTCTGTTCACCCATCAGTTTAAAATGGATACTTGGGTGTTAGTCGATTGGTGTGGGTCGCATCCTGGGACAGAACTGGAGTTTACCTGGAGAGAGTTCCGGGGGTCAACGCCCCCGCGGCCCGGTCTGTGACCAGGCCTCCTGGTTAATCAGAGCCTGATCAACCAGCCTGTTACTGCTGGCTGCACGCAAACCAACGTACGAGCCACAGCCCGGCTGATCAGGAACTGACTTTAGGTGCTTGTCCAGTGCCAGCTTGAAGACTGCCAGGGGTCTGTTGGTAATCCCCCTTATGTGTGCTGGGAGGCAGTTGAACAGTCTCGGGCCCCTGACACTTATTGTATGGTCTCTTAACGTGCTAGTGACACCCTTGCTTTTCATTGGGGGGATGTTGCATCGTCTGCCAAGTCTTTTGCTTTCGTAGTGAGTGATTTTCGTGTGCAAGTTCGGTACTAGTCCCTCTAGGATTTTCCAGGTGTATATAATCATGTATCTCTCCCTCCTGCGTTCCAGGGAATACAGGTTTAGGAACCTCAAGCGCTCCCAGTAATTGAGGTGTTTTATCTCCGTTATGCGCACCGTGAAGGTTCTCTGTACATTTTCTAGGTCAGCAATTTCACCTGCCTTGAAAGGTGTTGCTAGTGTGCAGCAATATTCCAGCCTAGATAGAACAAGTGACCTGAAGACTGTCATCATGGGCTTGGCATCTCTAGTTTTGAAGGTTCTCATTATCCATCTTGTCATTTTTCTAGCAGATGCGATTGATACAATGTTATGGTCCTTGAAGGTGAGATCCTCCGACATGATCACTCCCAGGTCTTTGACGTTGGTGTTTCGCTCTATTTTGTGGCCAGAATTTGTTTTGTACTCTGATGAAGATTTAATTTCCTCGAGCTTACCATATCTGAGTAATTGAAATTTCTCATCGTTGAACTTCAAATTGTTTTCTGCAGCCCACTGAAAGATTTGGTTGATGTCCACCTGGAGCCTTGCAGTGTCTGCAATGGAAGACACTGTCATGCAGATTCGGGTGTCATCTGCAAAGGAAAACACGGTGCTGTGGCTGACTTCCTTGTCTATGTCAGATATGAGGATGAGGAACATGCTCCCTCTCCATAGGATGGTAAAGGCTCGTGACAGGGGCTTCTCGCAGTTCTTGATGAACACGGAGTTCCATGAGTCTGGCCCTGGGGTAGAGTGCATGGGCATGTCATTTATCGCCTGTTCGAAGTCATTTGGCGTCAGGATAACATCAGATAGGCTTGTGTTAACCAAATTCTGTGGCTCTCTCATAAAAAATTCATTTTGATCTTCGACTCTCAGTCTGGTTAGCGGCTTGCTAAAAACCGAGTCATATTGGGACTTGAGTAGCTCACTCATTTCCTTGCTGTCATCTGTGTAGGACCCATCTTGTTTAAGTAGGGGCCCACTACTGGACGTTGTTCTCGACTTTGATTTGGCATAGGAGAAGAAATACTTTGGGTTTCTTTCGATTTCATTTATGGCTTTTAGTTCTTCCCGCGATTCCTGACTCCTATAAGATTCCTTTAGCTTAAGTTCGATGCTTGCTATTTCTCTGACCAGTGTCTCCCTACGCATTTCAGATATATTGACCTCTTTTAGCCGCTCTGTTATTCTTTTCCGTCGCCTGTAAAGGGAGCGCCTGTCTCTTTCTATTTTACATCTACTCCTCCTTCTTCTTAGAGGAATAAGCCTTGTGCATACATCGAGTGCCACCGAGTTAATCTGTTCTAGGCATAAGTTGGGGCCTGTGTTGCTTAGTATATCTTCCCAGCTTATATCGGTTAGGACTTGGTTTACTTGGTCCCACTTTATGTTTTTGTTATTGAAGTTGAATTTGGTGAATGCTCCCTCGTGACAAATCTCATTATGTCGGTCTGGGGCTCCGCGCATACATGTCTGAACATCAATTATGTTGTGATCTGAGTATATTGTTTTTGATATGGTGACATTTCTTATCAGATCATCATTGTTAGTGAAGATGAGGTCTAGTGTATTCTCCAGTCTAGTAGGCTCTATTATTTGCTGGTTTAAATTGAATTTTGTGCAGAGATTTAAAAGCTCGCGTGAGTGTGAGTTTTCATCAGAGCTGCCTCCTGGTGTTATTACTGCAACAATATTATTTGCTATATTCCTCCATTTTAGGTGCCTTAAGTTGAAATCCCCCAGGAGCAAGATGTTGGGTGCAGGAGCTGGAAGATTTTCCAGACAGTGGTCAATTTTTAACAGCTGTTCCTGGAATTGCTGGGAAGTTGCATCCGGAGGCTTGTAGACTACCACAATGACTAGGTTTTGGTTCTCGACCTTTACTGCTAAAACTTCCACTACATCATTTGAGGCATTAAGCAGTTCTGTGCAAACAAGTGACTCTGCAATGTACAGGCCAACCCCCCCCCCCCCCCTTTTGCCTGTTCACTCTGTCACATCTGTATAGGTTGTAACCTGGGATCCATATTTCGTTGTCCAAGTGATCCTTTATGTGGGTCTCAGTGAAAGCCGCGAACATTGCCTTTGCCTCTGCAAGCAGTCCACGGATGAAAGGTATTTTGTTGTTTGTTGCTGGCTTTAGACCCTGTATATTTGCAAAGAAGAATGTCATCGGACTGGTGGTATTGTTGGTACTGGGGGGGAATTTTTTTTCCGGCATTAGTATCTGTATCTGTTGGTTTGGAGTGGAGGCCATCGACTGTGGTTCCACTCCAGGAATGACTGGATTTGGTGTACGATTTCTGCCATTTCCTGCCAGTTTTTTTTTCCTTCCTGGCACTAAAAAACCTCTCCCTCTTGAGTGGCTGTGGCTACCCAGGTTTTCACATGGGAAATGCTCAGCATAAGAAGCAGCTTTCTATATAGTAGTGTGTCATTGATGTCAGCTAGGCCTATATACCATGTGCATATACTTGTAGTAAATAAAGATATTACTATTATATACAAAGTCACTTGTTATGCTGAGCATTTCCCGCAAATTAGGTCAATTTTTGTCTCAGGATGCGACCCACACCAGTTCACTAACACCCAGGTACCTATTTTACTGCTAGGTGAACATGGACATCAGGTGTCTTAATGTTTCCACTCGTACCGGAGATCGATCCCCAGACCTCAGTGTGTGAGTTGAGTGCGCTACCAATCGAACTACAAAATAGACCAAAACACATGAGCAAAGTTATTAGTTTGATTTTGCATCCCTATACCCATCCTGTGAATGGTAGTTACTATAGACACACACGGGTCCCCGGAATGGGTTCATAACTGAGATACGTACTTGTGTAACATTTGGGCAGCTTTATTCAGGAAACGTTTCGCAAGTCAGTGGCTTCTTCAGTCCATTACAGAGAAGAACGGTGAAAGATGAGGAGGAGAATGAGGTAATCACTCCCTCAGCCTGGAGTCAATTTACTCAGTCCAACAATCTGAGAAAAATGACTGATGGAGTGAACACATCGACTCCAGGCTGAGGGACTGATCACCTCAAACTCCTCCTTATTTTCCACCTTTCTCTGCAATGGACTGACTGGCGAAACTTACCGAAATGTTGAACAAGTATGTCACTTATCAACTTGTCACGAAAGAGAAAATAACATCAGACTTATCATTCAGACATGTTGTTTTTGCTGTGAGACCCGAGGCTGACTCCATGTTATCCACCCTGGAGGTGACTTTGACCAGGTACACCGTACAATCCTGCAGGTCCCTGATGGTGTACTCCAGGTCACTGGTGTTGTGTGTCACCCAGGTGTCAACATCTGACACTCTCCAATACACAGTGTAGGTGAGCTGGGACACAGTGCTGGTCTTGGCAGTGATTGCTGGAGACATCCTCACCCAGGACACTGGTGGGTTCCGGGACATCTCAGTGGATGATATATTAACCCAGGACACTGGTGGGCTCCATGACACATGAAGCTCCGTGGATGATGTATTTAAGACCTTCACGTTGGAAGGCGGAGAAATATCTGAAATAACGCCAGAGCACAAGAAATGAGTATTGCAGTAAGCTTTCTGGTTCTTGTTAGAGAAAGAGAGCGAGAGAGAGAGAGAGTGAGAGAGAATACTTACATGCAGCTCCACATCTTGGAACATCGACCTGCAAAATAAAAAAAAATTTTAGATTGTGTTCCAATTTGAATTTACAAACTTTATACATCTATATAACAAGCAACATTCTCAGTTGCATACATAACCATAACTCGGCTAAATTAGTTATGCTCTCGTGTTGCAGCGTCTCACATTTAATTTACTGTACAGATTTGTTTCTCCTTTGTGCAATAAATAAATAACTTTAACCTTGATTTTGACATAGAATTTTTATTTACACAGCACAGCGTTATTGCAAACGAAACTATGTGTATTGATTTTTTGTTGGATGTGATTGTTGGTATGGTCATGGGTTCTCCCTTTGAACCCATCCTTTCTTAATGATGTTGGTCATGGGTTCTCCCTTTGAACCCATCCTTTCTTAATGATGTTGGTCATGGGTTCTCCCTTTGAACCCATCCTTTCTTAATGATGTTGGTCATGGGTTCTCCCTTTGAACCCATCCTTTCTTAATGATGTTGGTCATTGGTTCTCCCTTTGAACCCATCCTTTCTTAATGATGTTGGTCATGGGTTCTCCCTTTGAACCCATCCTTTCTTAATGATGTTGGTCATGGGTTCTCCCTTTGAACCCATCCTTTCTTAATGATGTTGGTCATGGGTTCTCCCTTTGAACCCATCCTTTCTTAATGATGTTGGTCATGGGTTCTCTCTTTGAACCCATCCTTTCTTAATGATGTTGGTCATGGGTTTCTCCTTTGAACCCATCCTTTCTTAATGATGTTGGTCATGGGTTCTCCCTTTGAACCCATCCTTTCTTAATGATGTTGGTCATGGGTTCTCTCTTTGAACCCATCCTTTCTTAATGATGTTGGTCATGGGTTCTCCCTTTGAACCCATCCTTTCTTAATGATGTTGGTCATGGGTTCTCCCTTTGAACCCATCCTTTCTTAATGATGTTGGTCATGGGTTCTCCCTTTGAACCCATCCTTTCTTAATGATGTTGGTCATGGGTTCTCCCTTTGAACCCATCCTTTCTTAATGATGTTGGTCATGGGTTCTCTCTTTGAACCCATCCTTTCTTAATGATGTTGGTCATGGGTTCTCCCTTTGAACCCATCCTTTCTTAATGATGTTGGTCATGGGTTCTCCCTTTGAACCCATCCTTTCTTAATGATGTTGGTCATGGGTTCTCTCTTTGAACCCATCCTTTCTTAATGATGTTGGTCATGGGTTCTCCCTTTGAACCCATCCTTTCTTAATGATGTTGGTCATGGGTTCTCCCTTGAACTCATCCCTTGTTATAATGATAATGGTAAAAAATGGCTATAACTATGACCATTATTTTGAAAGGGGTGGAGTGGTAAGCCAGCGGAAGGCCACAGTCAGATGACCAAACACAGAGTCATGTTTCCTGGCCAATCTTACCTAACCTAACTTGCTGTCAACATATCTAGAACATAATAAATGGTTGATTTTTACCTGGTCTCAATTATCACTTTTCTTACAGCGAGTTAAGTCATTCTTGGGTTTATTTTAGTTATCCGTTTACATACATTCGTTTTCACTATTATGGTTGTCTTAAAAAACGTATTGTTTACAGAACTACTGAAAAAATGGGTTATGGTGGGGCCTTGAGCCACCAGCCATTGTTTACGTATTCTATATGCCTTCCTGATGTGTGTGAGACCCATGGTGTGTGACCCATGGTGTGTGACCCATGGTGTGTGACCCACGGTGTGTGACCCATGGTGTGGGACCCATGGTGTGGGACCCATGGTGTGACCCATGGTGTGTGACCCATGGTGTGAGACCCATGGTGTGTGACCCATGGTGTGAGACCCATGGTGTGTGACCCATGGTGTGTGTGACCCATTGTGTGAGACCCATGGTGTGTGACCCATGGTGTGTGACCCATGGTGAGACCCATGGTGTGGGACCCATGGTGTGAGACCCATGGTGTGTGACCCATGGTGTGTGACCCATGGTGTGTGACCCATGGTGTGGGACCCATGGTGTGGGACCCATGGTGTGAGACCCATGGTGTGAGACCCATGGTGTGTGACCCATGGTGTGTGTGACCCATTGTGTGAGACCCATGGTGTGTGACCCATGGTGTGTGTAGTTTGGTGACTGGAAGCATCAGGCAGTATACTAACGTTGTTAACATGGCACCCCTACAGGAAACACAACTTCTCTAACACAGTAACACCAGTGTGTGCTACGTAACACACACAAGAACAGCAATATAAGAAGAGTAACACAATAACATTGGTACAAGCAGAAGAGGCGTGACCAGGAGCCGTGAATCGACCCCTGCAACCAAAAATAGGCGAGTACAATACCAGTAGTGTGATCAGACGTACTTACGGACAATAAGAGCAGCAGTGAGGGGCACAGAATTAGCTTCATGCTGCCTCGGAACACACTACAGCCACTAACTCCTTGCAATCTTATCTGTGTATAAATTTTTACCTGATTTACCGACTTATCTATCTGTCCTTATCAGACTTGAGATTCATTTTATTTACAGGTGACGTTACTCACTAAATATTTTTTTTCCATGTTTGCCCGTAGCTCGGTCGCTAGCGCACTCACTTTACACACTGAGGCCCGGGGGGTCGATCCCCGGTACGGGTGGGAACATTAGGATTGTTTCATACTATGGAACAATGCTCTTCTCCAGACTGAGGGACTGACCACCTCAAAACTTTAAGGGTGATGGACTGATTACATCGTCTTCAAGTATCTTCTGCTTCTATCAACTTTTCTGTACTTGACTGAAGAAGCCTACTGTGTAGGCGAAACGTTTCATAATAAAGATACCTAACTGTTGCATATGTGTCTTACCTAACAACATTAGGACGTGTTTCCTCAAAGACACCTGCTGTCCATGTTCACCTAGCAGTATAATAGGTACCTGGGTGTTAGTGGACTGGTGTGGGTCGCATCCTGGTGACAAAATTGACCTAATTTGCAGGAAATACTCAGCATAACAAGGGACTTTCTATATAGTAGTGTGTTATTGGTGTCAGCTATGGTCTGTATAAGTTGTATCATGTAGGAATAAAGATTATACATATGTGTATAACTAAAGTATAATGAACAATTGTTACTTACTGATGTTCAATAATAACCAACATGGAGACAGAAACTCAGATTAATTCATCTGTATATTTCCGCCCTCTTCAGCAGATACATAAGAGAACAGACCAAGAGCTGTTATCTAACCTCAACTCATTTCAAAACCCAGCTCACCCCCAGGATGCGACCCACACCAGTCGACTAATACCCAGATACCTACCTACTGCTAGGTGAACATGGGCTGCAGGCGTCTTAGGGAAACCCGCCCCAGTGTTTCCACTTGTACCGGGGGTCGAACCGTGGACACTCAAAGAATGAGCTGAGTGCGCTACCAACCCAGCTATGAGACATGGACCAAATCACCATCAAAAAAGACATTTCAGAAGATGGTTCTGAATCGTCTAGTGCATGGAATCAAACACTTGCTGCCCCCTGGCTATATAGTTAGGTTAGGTAAGGTTCGTCAGGAAACAGGACAAGTGTTTCCTGACGCGGGTCTTAGTCATATTATGACCCATAGCTGGAGCTTTTGGTCATCTGACCGAGGCCTTCCACTGGCTTATCACTCCAATAGTGTCATGCATGGAACGAGTGTGCATCCTCGCTTAAGAGGCATGTTAGTTCCTCTGTTGTAGTAATGTTATTTTTCCACTATAATCCACCTTGTCCATAATTACTATCGTATTCGCTTTGTCTGTTTCGTAAGGTGAAGTCCAGGATCTTTCCTTAATTCATGGTATAACTTAATAGATATTTGTAAATTGTAAACACAAGTATAAGGTAACTACCACCCACAGGACGGGTATAAGGTGCACAATAACGTTATTAATATAAGTAGTGACATTTGTCTGAGCTATGGAGTGTCTGGCTACTTGTAAATAACCAGACATTTCCGCTCCAGGAGTCTTCTCATTTATCAGCTGTAATCTAGGCCTATAGACTACGACAACACGTACATTATAAGCCTAGGTCATAAGCTGTAACATGATAGCCAAGCCGCCACCCAGCCGTAAGCCGAGTCATAACAAACATCTTCTTTATTTCAGGAATGACAACAACAATAACACACACACACACACACACACACACACACACACACACACACACACACACACACACACACACACACACACACACACACACACACACACACACAAATCCTCAGGAAAGACAGAGGGAGGAGAGGGGGAGGAGGAGTTGCACTGCTCATTAAAAGCCAGTGGGGTTTTGAGAAAATGGAAGGAATGGATGGCACGGGCGAAAGGGACTACTTAGTAGGAACAATCCAGTCTGAGGGACATAAGGTGATAATTGCAGTAATGTACAACCCACCACAGAACTGCAGGAGGCCAAGAGAAGAATACGATGAGAGCAACAGAGCAATGATCGACACACTAGCCGAGGTGGCCAGGAGAGCACACATGGGGGGAGCAAAGTTACTAGTTATGGGTGATTTCAATCACAAGGAGATTGACTGGGAAAACCTGGAGCCCCATAGGGGTCCCGAAACATGGAGAGCCAAGATGATGGATGTGGTACTGGAAAACCTCATGCATCAACATGTTAGAGACACTACCAGAGAGAGAGGAGAGGATGAACCAGCAAGACTGGACCTTGTATTCACCTTGAGTAGTTCTGACATCGAGGATATCATGTATGAAAGGCCCCTGGGAGCTAGTGATCATGTGGTTCTGTGCTTCGACTACATAGTTGAGCTCCAAGTGGAGAGAGCAGCAGGAATAGGCTGGGAAAAAACAAACTACAAAAGGGGGAACTACTCAGGCTTGAGGAACTTCTTTCAAGACATTCAGTGGGAGAGGGAACCGACAGGAAAACCAGTACAAGAAATGATGGACTATGTGGCAACAAAATGCAAGGAGGCAGAGGAGAGGTTTGTTCCCAAGGGAAACAGAAATAATGGGAAGAACAGAATGAGTCCTTGGTTCACCCAAAGGTGTAGGGAGGCAAAAACTAGGTGTACTAGAGAATGGAAAAGGTACAGAAGACAGAGAACTCAGGAAAATAAAGAGATTAGCCGAAAAGCCAGAAACGAATATGCACAGATAAGAAGGGAGGCTCAGCGGCAATACGAAAAGGACATAGCATCGAAAGCCAAGACTGACCCGAAGCTGTTGTACAGCCACATCAGGAGGAAAACAACAGTCAAGGACCAGGTAATCAGACTGAGGAAGGGTGATGGGGAATTCACAAGAAACGACCGGGAGGTATGTCAGGAGCTCAACACAAGATTTAAAGAAGTATTTACAGTGGAAACCAGTAGGACTCCAGGAAATCAGAGCAGGGGGGTGCACCAGCAAGTGCTGGATGAGGTACATATAACCAAGGAGGAGGTGAAGAAGCTGCTATGCGAACTTGACACCTCAAAGGCGGTGGGACCAGACAACATCTCTCCATGGGTCCTTAAAGAGGGAGCAGAGATATTGTGTGTACCGTTAACAAAGATCTTCAACACATCATTTGAAACTGGGCAACTCCCCGAGGTATGGAAGATGGCAAATGTAGTCCCAATTTTTAAAAAGGGAGACAGACATGAGGCACTAAACTACAGACCTGTATCACTAACGTGTATAGTATGCAAGGTCATGGAGAAGATCATCAGGAGGAGAGTGGTGGAGCACCTGGAAAGAAACAAGTGTATAATTGACAACCAGCATGGTTTCAGGGAGGGAAAATCCTGTGTCACAAACCTACTAGAGTTTTATGACAAGGTGACAGAAGTAAGACAAGAGAGAGAGGGGTGGATCGACTGCATTTTTTTGGACTGCAAGAAGGCCTTCGACACAGTTCCTCACAAGAGGTTACTGCAAAAGCTAGAGGATCAGGCACACATAACAGGAAAGGCACTGCAATGGATCAGAGAATACCTGACAGGGAGGCAACAACGAGTCATGGTACGTGACGAGGTGTCAGAGTGGGCGCCTGTGACAAGCGGGGTTCCACAGGGGTCAGTCCTAGGACCTGTGCTGTTCTTGGTATATGTGAATGACATAACGGAAGGGATAGACTCAGAAGTGTCCTTGTTTGCGGACGATGTGAAGTTAATGAGAAGAATCAATTCGGATGAGGATCAGGCAGGACTACAAAGAGACCTGGACAGGCTACAAGCCTGGTCCAGCAACTGGCTCCTTGAGTTTAACCCTGCCAAATGCAAAGTCATGAAGATTGGGGAAGGGCAAAGAAGACCGCAGACACAATGTAGTTTAGATGGCCAAAGTCTGCAAACCTCACTCAAGGAAAAAGATCTGGGGGTGAGTATAACACCGAGCATATCTCCCGAGGCGCACATCAATCAGATAACTGCTGCAGCATACGGGCGCCTGGCAAACCTACGGATAGCGTTCCGGTACCTCAGTAAGGATTCTTTCAAGACTCTGTATACCATTTATGTTAGGCCCATACTGGAGTATGCAGCACCAGTTTGGAATCCACACCTAGTCAAGCACGTCAAGAAATTAGAGAAAGTGCAAAGGTTTGCAACAAGACTAGTCCCAGAGCTACGGGGATTGTCTAACGAAGAAAGGTTGAGGGAAATCGGCCTGACGACACTGGAGGCCAGGAGGGCCAGGGAAGATATGATAACGACATATAAAATACTGCGCGGAATAGACGAGGTGGACAAAGACGGGATGTTCCAGAGATGGGACACAGACACAAGAGGTCACAATTGGAAGTTGCAGACTCAGATGAATCAAAGGGATGTTAGGAAGTATTTCTTCAGTCATAGAGTAGTCAGGCCATGGAATAGCCTAGAAAGTGAAGTAGTGGAGGCGGGAACCATACATAGTTTTAAGGCGAGGTATGATATAGCTCATGGAGCAGGGAGAGAGAGGACCTAGTAGCAATCAGTGAAGAGGCGGGGCCAGGAGCTATGAATCGACCCCTGCAACCACAAATAGGTGAGTACAAATAGGTGAGTACAAATAGGTGAGTACACACACACACACACACACACACACACGACAAGAGGGGACATTATAACAACATATAAAATAATGAGAGGAATTGACACGGTGGACAGAGAATGTTTCAAAGGTCAAAGACTGCAAATCTCACTCAAGAAAAAGGATCTAGGGGTGAGCATCACACCGAGCACATCTCCTGAGGCACACATCAACCAGATGACTGCTGCAGCATATGGGCGCTGTGTACATCAGGCCCATACTGGAGTAGGCAGCACCAGTGTGTATGTGTGTGTGTGTGTACTCACCTAATTGCACTTACCTAGTTGTGGTTGCAGGGGTCGAGTCACAGCTCCAAAAAGATAAAGATTTATTTCTTTGTAAAGGTTACAGCTTTGGTTTGCTAAATACAAAGAAAGTCACTATTATGCCGGGGCATTTCTGGGAGACATACCTCTTCTTAAAG